AAACCCAGCACACTTTCATGACAGAAACACTCAACAAACCTAGATTAGAAGGGAATTTCCTCAACCTGATCAAGGCATGAAAATCCCACGGCTAACATCTTATTTCCCCCACACGTCTGTCAGTTTATCCTACTGTGGGGGCTTGTGTGTTGCTGTGATGCTGGACGCTATGCCACCGGTATTCAAGTACCAGCAGGGTCACCCGTGGCGGACAGATTTCAGCTGAGTTTCCAGACTAAGACAGACTAGGAAGAAGGAAAGAAAGAAAAGGTCAAAATGGATGTCAGAAGAGACTCTGAAACTTGCTCTTGAACGTCGAGTAGCTAAAGTGAAAGGAAGAAATGATGAAGTAAAAGAGCTAAATAGAAGATTTCAAAGGGTGGCTCAAGAAGACAGAGTATTGTAATGATATGTACAAAGACCTGGAGATAGAAAACCAAAAGGGAAGAACACACTCAGCATTTTTCAAGCTGAAAGAACTGAAGAAAAAATTCAAGCCTCAAGTTGCAATATTGAAGGAGTCTACGGGGAATATACTAAATGGCGCAGGAAGTATCAAAAGCAGATGGAAGGAACACACAGTCATTATACCAGAAAGAACTGGTTGATGTTCAGCCATTTCATGGGTAGCATATGATCAGGAACCAATGGTACTGAAGGAAGAGGTCCAAGCTGCACTGAAGGCATTAGAGAAAAACAAGGCTCCAGGAATTGATGGAATACCAATTGAGATGTTTCTACAAATGAACATAACGCTGGCAGCGCTAACTCATCTATGCCAAGAAATTTGGAAGACAGCTACCTGGCCAACCGACTAGAAGAAATCCATATTTATGTCTAGTCCCAAGAAAGGTGATCCAACCGAATGTAGAAATTATCAAACAATATCATTAATATCACATGCAAGTAAAATTTTGCTGAAGATCATTCAAAAGCAGCTGCAGCAGTATATCAACAGGGAACTGCCAGAAATTCAAGCCGGATTGAGAAGAGGATGTGGAACAAGGGATATCATTGCTGATGTCAAATAGATCCTGGCTGAAAGCAGAGAATACCAGAAAGATGTTTGCCTGTGTTTTATTGACTATGCAAAGGCATTCAACTGTGTGGATCATAACAAATTATGGATAACATTGCAAAGAATGGGAATTCCACAACACTTAGTTGTGCTCATGAGGAACCTGTACAGATCAAGAGGCAGTCCTTTGAACAGAACAAAGGGATAGTGTGTGGTTTAAAATCAGGAAAGGTGTGCATCAGGGTTGTATCCTTTCACCACACTTATTCAATCTGTATGCTGAGCAAATAATCCAAGAAGCTGGAGTATATGAAGAAGAACGTGGCATCAGAATTGAAGGAAGACTAATTAACAACCTGCAATATGCAGATGACACAACCTTGCTTGCTGAAAGTGAAGAGGTCTTGAAGCACTTACTGATGAAGGTCAAAGACCATGACCTTCAGTATGGATTACACCTCAACATAAAGAAAACAAAAATCCTCACAACTGGACCAATAAGCAACATCATGATAACCGGAGAAAAGATTGAGGCTGTCAAGGATTTCATTTTACTTGGATCCACAATCAACAACCGTGGAAGCAGCAGTCAAGAAATCAAACGGCGCATTGCAATGGGCAAATCTGCTAAAAAAGACCTCCTTCAAGTATTGAAAAGCAAAGATGTCACTTTGAAGACTAAGGTACGCCTGACCCAAGCCATGGTGTCTTCAGTCACCTCATATGCATGTGAAAGTTGGACAATGAATAAGGAAGACCGAAGAAGAATTGATGCGTTTGATTTGTGGTGTTGGTGAAGAATACTGAATATACCATGGACTGCCAGAAAAAAAACGAACAGGTCTGTCTTGAAGGAAGTACAGCCAGAATGCTCCTTAGAAGCAAGGATGGCGAGACTACATCTCACATATTTTGGACGTGTTATCAGGAGGGATCAGTCCCTGGAGAACAACATCATGCTTGGTAAAGTGGAGGGTCAGCAAAAAAGAGGAAAACCCTCAGCAAGACGGACTAACCCAGTGGCTGTGGCAATGGGCTGAAGCATAGCAACGATCATGGGGATGATGCGGGACCAGGCAGTGTTTTGTTCTGTCGTGCGTAGGGTCGCTATGAGTCGGAATCAACTCGACAGCACCTAACAACAACAACAGCATCCTACTTACTGGTGAAAGACTGAATGCTTTCTCCCATAAGATCAAGGATAAGACAAAGATGTTTGCTCTCGCCACATCTTTTCAACATTGTGCTCGAGGTTCTAACCAGGGCAATTAATCAACAAAATGAATTAAAAGCATTCAGATTGGGAAAGGAAGAATTAAAACTATATTCTAATGAAACCAATAAAAAACTTTGAACTAAGAGACAAGTTCAGAAAGGCTGCAGGCATAAGATTAATATAAAAAATCAAGTTATTTCTATACTCTTGAAATGAATGATCCTAAAATAAAATTAAGAATATAATCCCATTTAAAATAGCATCAAAAAGAATAAAAGATTTAAGGATAAATTTAACAAAAGAAGTACAAGACTTGTACACCGAAAAGTACAAAATATTGTTGAAAGAAATAAGGAGGTCTGAGTACGTGGAAAGACATCCCATGTTCTTGGATCAGGAGACTTAATGTTGTTAAGATAGCAGTACTCCCCAAGTTGCTCTACAGAGTTAGTGCAATTCCTATCAAAATCCCGGCTGGCTTCTTTGCAGAATTCTAGAACAATCGTATGCCAGCAAGTTGATACTAGCTGCTAGTATACTAGAATCCATGCGAAAATTCAAGGAACCCAAAATAGCCAAAACAGTATTTTTTTTATTGTGCTTTAGATGAACGTTTTGCAGAGCAAATTAGTTTCTCATTAAAAAATTAATACACATATTGTTTTGTGACATTGGTTGCCAACCCCAGGACATGTCAACACTCTCCCCTTCTCGACCTTGAGTTCCCCATTATCAGCTTTCCTGTCCCCTCCTGTCTTCTTGTCCTTGCCCCTGGGCTGGTGTGCCCATTTAGTCTCATTTTGTTTCATGGGGCCTGTCTAATCTTTGGTTGAAGGGTGAACCTCAGGAGTAACCTCAGTACCGAGTTAAAAGGGTGTCCAGGAGCCATGTTCTCGGAGTTTCTCAAGTCTCTGTGAGACCAGTAAGTCTGGTCTTTTTTTTTTGTGAGTTAGAATTTTGTTCTACATTTTTCTGCAGCTCTGTCCAGGACCCTCTATTGTGATCCCTGTCAGAGCAGTTGGTGGTAGTAGCTGGGCACCATCTAGTTGTGCTGGACTCAGTCTATAGCCAAAATAACATTGAAAAAGAAAAGCAAAATTGGAGAACATACCCTTCCTAATTCCAAAACTTACTACAAAGGAACAGTAATCAAGACTATGTGGTTCTGGCATAACGGTAGACATTTTGATCAATGAAATACAATTAAGAATCCAGAAGTAAACCCATTTATAGGCAATTGTTTTTCAACAAGGTTACCAACACAATTCAATAGTGAAAGAACAGTCTTTCCAACAAACGGCGATGGGACAATTAGATCTCTATGTGCAAAAGTATCAGGTTGGACCCCTACCTCCCACCATATACAAAAATTAACTCAAAGTGGACCAGAGACCTAAATTTAAGAGCTAAAACTATAAAACTCTCAGATGAACACGGGTAATCTTCATGACCTTGGATTAGGCAGTGGTTTATAGATATGACACCACAAGCACAAGCAACCGTACGAAAAATGAAAATTGGTCTTCATTGAAGTTAAAACTTTTGTGCTTTATCGGACACCATCAAGGAAGTGAAAAGATAACCCACAGAATGGGAGAAAGCATTTGCAAATCATATATACAATGTCATAGTCAAATCATATCTAGAATATATAAAGAAATCTCACTACTCAATTAAAAATGACACACGACCCAATTAAAAAAGAGGCAAAGGACTTGAATAGACACGTCTCCAAAGAAGATATGCAAATGGCCAGTAAGCACCATTCCGACTCATAGAGGCCTTATAGAACAGGGTAGAACTGCCCCATAGGCTTTTCTAGGCTGAAATCTTTATGGGAGCAAATCGCCAGGTCTTTTCTCCCCTGGGAGGAGCCCTCATGGCACAGTGGTTAAGAGCTCAGGCTGCTAACCAGAAGGTCCGCAGTTCGAATCCACCAGTCACTCCTTAGAAACCCTGTGGGGCAGTTCTACTCTGTCACGTAGGGTCGCTGTGAGTCAGAATTGGCTCAATGGCAACAGGCTTTTCTCCCACGGAGCAGCTGGTGGGTTTGAACCGCGGACCTTTTGGTTAGCAGCCAAGCACTTAACCATTGTGCCACCAGGGCACCTTCAGTTAGCCATTAAGTAAATGCAAATCAAAACCACAATGAGATACTGCTTTATACCCATAAGGATGGTTATAAGCAAAAAGATGGACAATAAGAAATGTTGGCAAGGATGTGGGAACATCGGAACCCTCATCCATTGCTGGTGGGAATGTAAAAAGATGCAGCCACTTTGGAAAACAGTCTGGCAGTTCCTCAAAATGTTAAACATAGAGTTACCATATGATCCAGCAATTCCCCTCCGGTGTAGACACCCAAGAGAAATGAAAACATACATCCACACAAAAACTTGCACACAAATAGTATAGCGGCAGTCATGGTTCATAATAGCCAAAAAGTGCAAACAAAGCAAACGGCCATCAACTGATGAATGGTAAGATGCAGTACATCCATACCATGGAGTCTAACTGGGCAATACAAAAGGAGGAAGTACCAATTCACACTACAACATGACGAACCTCGAGAACATCGTGCCAAGCAGCAGATCCAGGATTGGACCACATGTGGTCTGGCTCTGGAATCCATTGATTTGTGCCCTTTTCTGCCTGTTGTCACATTGTCACCTCATCGTGAGGGGCACTCTGATGTCCTTATTGTTTAGGAGTGCTCTGGTTGGTTTCCCAGCACCATAACCTCTGCTTTCTGTGTTGTGCCATCAGGATCAGCAAAGTGCAAAGGAAGGCTGTCAGCGCCATCCACAGCCTGCTGAGCAGTCACGACCTGGACCCACGGTGTGCCAAACCGGAAGTGAAGGTCAAAATAGCTGCCCTCTATCTGCCCTTGGTCGGCATCATCTTGGATGCTCTGCCACAGTTCTATGACTTTACAGGTAAGACCCCTTCTGTTTCTTTCCTTGGACTGATGGGTAAACCAAACCCATTGCCATTGTCAACTCTGACAATGGCAACCCCACGTGTTTCAGAGTAGATCTGTGCTCCGTAGGGTTTTCTGCGGCTATGATCCTTCTGAAGTCAATCGCCAGGCCTTTCTTCCAGGTCGTCTCTGGGTGAATTTAAAACGCCAATCATTTGCACCACCCAGGGACTCCAGATTGGTGGGAGCCTCTGCCACATACCCAACAGAACGAGGTCATTCTCATTAGCTCCAGTACGGACATGTCTGTGTGAGCAATTCTCCACACCCGTGGTCCCCTGTCTTAAGCTTGGTTCTCTAGAGGAGCAAAACCAGTAAGCATATATCTAAAAATATGTATGTGTAGAGAGATTTATTTCAAGGAAATGGCTCACGCAATTGTAGAGGCTGGCAAGTCCCAAATCCATGGGTCAGGAAGCAGGCTGGAGGCTTCTCCTGACTCAGCGTGGTTGTAGGGGCTGACAAACCCAAAATCTGCAGGTTAGACAGCAGGCTGCTGGCTTACAGAGTTGCGGGAGCTACAGAATCCAAACTCTGCAGGTTAGGCTGTTGACTCACGTCCCAAGAACCCAGGTCAGAGGATGATAAGGTGAATGCAGGATCGAATGCAAGTTTGAGAGGGCAAGCTTTGCCAGAACATCTGTATATATTGGAAGCAGGTCACACCCCCAAGGAAACCTTCCTTCCCGCTGATTGGCTGCTCGCATCAGATCACACAATGGAGGATGATTACATAATGTCTGCCAAACCACTGAGAATCCTGGCCTAGCCAAGTTGATGCATAACATTAGCCATCATATCCCCAAAACCTCTTTAACATAGGCCCAAATCCATTTTTTTAAAAAAAATCCAAAAGCACATAACCTCATGTATGTTTCTTAGAAATTACATACAGGCACAAATATATGTAGAGTGCCTGAGTGGCAAGAATGGTTAACACATTCAGCTACTAAGTGAAAGGCTGGCAATTCCAGTCCACCCAGAGGTGCCTCCAAAGAAAGGCCTGGAGATCTGGTTCTGGAAGTTCACAGCCATGAAAACCCTATGGAGCACAGTTCTACTCTGCACATGGGGTCACCATGAGTCAAAATCAACTGGTTATCTGGTTAGCTGGTTAGCTGCCTGCCGACCACACACACACGCACACAGGATTCTGATCACTTCTGAGAGTGGTTATTACTTTTTCCTCAACTCAAGGGAAGTTCTTGGAAATAACCATGCTGCTCTCCTGGCTGACAAAGGATCTCGGGGCCTGGGGATTGCTTCCGTAAGCCCAGCCATCCTTTCAGAAGTCATCTTTGGAATTTGGAACCATCCAGTTCTTCCCATTTCCTCCAAATGCAAAGTGTCATGTGTGATGAAATTGCCTTAAAACACAACAGCGAATTACTATTTTTAAAAGTTGGATTCTGTCTTCACAACTTTAGCAGATGAAAATGTTGTTTACGGAGTTATTTTTCTGGAAATGTTAAGGCTCAGATGGTTATGGTGTTGACATGACAGGTCTAATGAAATGTGAGTTTTTAATGAATGGATCAGCAGCAAGTTTTTTAATTCACCTTCCCAAGAACTGCTCAAACAAATAGTTTCTGTGTCTGTATTCGGTAGCATTCTTAACAACCAACCTTTTAAATTGCAGGATTGTTTTCTTCTGTTTGTTTGCATACATCTATACTATGTAGAAGAAACCCATTCCCATCTAGTCGATTCTAACTCATAGCTACCCTGCAGAACAGAGTAGAACTGCCCCATGGGGTTTCCTAGGCTGTAATCTTTAGGGAAGCAGATTGCCATATCTTTCTCCCACAGAGCAGCTGGTGGGTTTGAACCCATGACCTTTCGACCTTAGCGGCCGAGCGCTTAAACCACTGCATCATCAGGGCTTCTTATACCTATTTATAGATACAGATGTATCTCTGTTGTATAAACCCGTTGCTGTGGAGTTGATTGACTCGCAGATACGATCAATTAACATTCATTTCCAACATGTTGAAATTTAATAAATTATTGTTGGATTTACAACTGTGTAGCTGGTTATTCCATAAGGTACTTATTTAATTAAATAATTTTCGGGTCCTTTCTGTTTGGTCATTATTTAAAATAAATGGGTAAGCTTAAAAAGAAATTAGACAGCAGGAAAGTTTTATGAAAGCTTTGGAAACTTTGAACTTCACCATTTGAAAAATTAAATTCTAGCCCAATCTTGTACTGGACACCTCTTTTGTCAGCTGGCCTACTTTTTACAATGGATGGTACCAGATTCAATAATGCTAGACGTCAGGTCTAAAATTATTCTGTCGACTTCTGTGATGAATAATTATCAGTATAAATAAGTTGAGTCCCTGGATGGCGCAGATGGTTAAGCACTGGACTGCCAACCAAAAGGCTGGCGGTTCAAACCCTCCCACAGGCACCTCAGAAGAGAGGCCTGGCGATCTGCTTCCAAGAAGTCACAGCCTTGAAAGCCCCATGGAGCCATTCTACTGTGCACACACGGGGCTGCTATGAGGCGAGACTGATGCAACAGCAACTAACAATAACATAAATAAGTTGGGTCTTGGATTTGCTGGCTCCTGGGCAGGGGACATGTTGAGAAATACCGTCTTTGGCTTGGCATTACCACTGGTGTTTGAATTACAGCTGCAGATGCCCGTGGTGGAAAAAGTCGCTGCAACGGCTCGGATGAAGAACAAGAAGGAGGGAGTACAATTAACCAGAATGTGGCCCTGGCCATCGCTGGGAATAACTTTAATCTGAAGACGAGTGGAGTAATCCTGTCTTCTTTGGTATGGTGGTGCACGTTTCTCTGCTTTATCCCCTCCCCTTCCCCAGGCTACTTTTTGTTGTTGGGAGTCCCTGGGTGGCACAAACGGTGAAGCACTCAACTATTAGCTGAAAGGCCAGCTGCTCGAACCCACCCAGAGGCACCTCAGAAGAAAGGCCTGGCAATCTGGTTCGAAAAGGTCACAGCCTTGAAAACTGTATGGAGCAGTTCTACTGTGCACACATGGGGTCGCCATGAGTCACAATCAACTAACAACAACACTAGCAAAAATATCTATAACCTAACATTTGTCAATTTAACGTTTTTCACGTGTACAATTTAGTGATGTCAATTACATGGATCATGTTGTGCAACCATCACCAGTGTCCACTGCCAAATGTCCGTTTTGCATTTTCTCCCTTCTCCTGATGGGTTTGTTCTTATGCTCGCTGACCAGAACCCGGTGTAGAGCAGGCATGGGGGTGTCTGCCTCATTGCTCACTTCTGGAAGGAATCACTGTGAGGCTGGTGGCCGAGGAGGGGATGGCACAGATGAGGCGGCACGCAGGTCAGGCAGGGTTCTCGCAGTCAAATCCCTGCAGTCCCAACGGTGCCAAGTTCAAGGTTCAGGGAAAGAGGCGCACTTGGGAAATCTGAGATCGTTGCAAAGGAGATCAAAGGAAGGTTGGCCAAGAACGGGGGCTGGGGACCGCGTTTTATTCTGTGTGTTTTATTACTTGTACTGTGTCTGCCTCCAAAAGAGAGACGAAGGGGGTTTGAGGCTTGGGAGAGGCGCTTCTTAAGTGAAAGCAGTCAGCTTTACTGGGTGCCCAGGGAGCCTAAACAAGGGCAGTGGTGGCTCAGTGGTAGAATTCTCGCCTTCCACGCGGAGACCCGGGTTCGATTCCCAGCCAGTGCACCTCATGTGCAGCCACCACCTGTCTGTCACTGTCACTGGAGTCTTATGTGTTGCTGGGATGCTGAACAAGTTCAGCAGATCTTCCAGATTAAGCAGACTAGGAAGAAAGGCCTGGCGATCTACTTCCGAACATCAGACAATGAAAAAACACTGTGAATCACAATGATTCGCTCTGCAGCTGATCATAGGGCTGACACAGGACCAGGCAGCATTTTGTTCCATTGGGCACTGTGGCGCCCTGAGTAGGCGCCAACCCACCAACAGCTAACAGCAACAACGGGGAGCCGAAAGAGAGTTGTTGGGCTCTGTCCTTTGAGCAGACTGTGTGGGCTGAAAGAGGGACTCCTCGGGGAAGGCAGCCTGTGATTCCCTTGAGGACCCATCCCTGTCCCTTCATGAGCTCTGACTCTCTCTTTGCAAGACCAAACCAAAACAACCAAACCCACTGCCACTGAGTCCGCTCTGACTCACAGCGACCCTACAGGACAGAGTGGAACTGCCCCAGAGGGTTTCCAAGGAGCGGCTCGTGGATTCGAACGGCTGACCTTTTGGTTAGCAGCCGAGCTCTTAACCACTGCACCTCCAGGGCTCCTTTTGTCAAGACAGCTCCAACTTAATCTAACTTTGCGTTTCAGCATAGGGTTCATGTCTGTGGAGAACTGAATTGGCTCATTTCTGGGAAAGGCAGGTTGTCTCAGTCTCCTAGTGCTGCTGTAACAGAAGTACCACACGTGGGTGGCTTTAATGAACAGAAATTTATTTTCTCCAAGTTAGGAGGCTAGAAGTCCGAATTCAGGGCGCTGGCTCTAGGGGAAGGCTCTCTCTGTCCGCTCTGGGGGAAAATCCTTGTTTCAGCGTCTCTAGCGTTCTCCTTGGGGTTCTTTGGAGATCTCTACGTGGCATCTCTCTTTCCCCCATTCCTGGTTGCTTGCTTCTGTGCCTCATTTGTTCTTTTATATCTCGATAGTGATTGGCTTAAGACACAGCCTACACTGAAATGGTCTGATTAACATAACAAAGAAACCCCTATTCCCAAATAGGATCACATCCACAGGTAGCAACCAAACCAAACCCATGCTGTGAAATCAATTCCCACTCATAGAGATCCTCTAGGACAGAGCAGAACTGCCCCCCATAGGGTTTCCAAGGAGCGCCTGGTAGATTCGAACTGCCAACCTTTTGGTTAGCAGCCGAGCTCTTAACCACTGCGCCACCAAGGCTCCTCCACAGGTAGAGGGATTAGGACTTACAACACATATTTTTGGAGGGACACAATTTAATTCGTAACACAGGTGTAGGGCTTAACCCTTCTTTACTGAAAACTTCTTTCTCTTCCCTCCGGCACTTAGCAATTCCTCGTCCCCTAACACCTGTGAGGGCCGGAGTACAGAGAGGCAGAGGAGGAGGAAGGAGAAGGGACTTTTGAGATTTGACAGATCTGATGTTACAATTCGATATATATTGTTTGATTTATGACCTCCTCCTCCATTGTAATATCCATCTTCCCAAAGCTAATTGCTTGAGGCACTGCACGCCTTTGACCTTGTTATTGTTAAAAATAATGAAAGCTCAGCAACATTTGAACAGGTTTATGCTGAGCAGTTACTCTATATGCATATAAAAAACCCAAGCCAAACCTGTTGCCGAGAGTCGATTCTGATGCATAGCAAGCCTACAGGACAGAGTAAGACTGCCCCAGAAGGTTTCCGAGGAGCAGCTGGTGGATTCAAACTGCTGACCTTTTGGTTAGCAGCTGAGGTCTTAACCACTGACCCACCAGGGCTCCTCTATGCATATAGGGAGATCATTTTGATTCCAGAAAAAGCAAATGGCTCAAAGTAAGCTAGGTACAGTGGGGCTTATAAAGAGAAGAGGAGGGAGAATTACAGAAGATCAACCACTGGCTAATCTTAACATGTCTGATGGAACCCTGCCCTCCCCCCTTTTACTGAGATCAACTGATATCAGGTCACAAGAAGGTCTCTGCCCCTCCACCCAGCCATATCCTTTATTTTTTATTGTGCTTTAGATGGTTTACAGAGCAAATTAGTTTCTCATTAAACAGTACACATACTGTTTTATGACATTGGTTGATAACCATATCTTTTAAGATTCAAACTTAGTAAGCCAGACTTTGAACAGGAAAGAAAGGGTTTGCAACTTTGGGTGAAAGACAAGCCTCAGGCAGATTAATTTTGGTCAGGGATTTCTTTAAAGTGAATGTTTGCTTTTGTGGGTGAGAAACCCCCAAATCAAAGCAAGATATCTGCTTTCAGTTTTTCTCTTTGACATTGTTTGCCTCTGAGGGAGAAACCCCATGGCCCAAAGCTGACCTGTCAGAGCGTATTCCCTGTGAACTTATAATACATCTAAAGACTTCATTTCTTCTTGAAAAACTCAAGTCAGAGTAATTTCATCAGCTCTATCATCCGCATCCAAAACTAACACTGCCCTCACGTACTCATAAATGCCTCACTGCAGTCTCTCCGGCACATTCCACTGGATATTAGCTACTCCGCGTGAAGCCAGGGTGCAGACGTATGTTGTTGGCAGTGTGCATTTGCTGAGTAACAGGAAGTGCACTCAGCACTGTAAAATGAGTGCTCGTGGCCAAGGGATGAAAGCAAATAGGCTTACGCTCACCCCCAACCCACGGGCAGACAGAAATAGTAGTTCACGTCTTAGGACCGAAGACTTCAGCGAGTTCTGAACTTGATTAATTTGCCGAGAAGGTCGTAACCCTGATGTTTGCAGGCTGTGGCCGAGAAGCTAGCTCAGGGACAGTTGGAGTGTTTGTGGCTCCTAGCCAGGCTAGTTCGCTTCTGCAAGCCCAGCCCTGCGCTGTCCAGTTGAAGGAGAAGAGCTTGGAGAGCTTAGCAGCATCGAAGCCCCTTTGTATCACTGATTGGGGAGCGTGGTAGAGCTCTAGAGAAGACTGCCAGACCACACTACCCATTATGGGTTGATTGTGTACCCCTAAAATATGGCTGACACTGTCCCTATGGATGTAATCCCATTTGGAAATAGGGTTTCTTTGTTATGTTAATGAGCCAGATCAGTGTAGGGATGTCCTAAACCTAACCATTTTTGAGATAGAAGGAGTAGCATAGACTCAGAGACAAGCAAGCCCAAACGGGGAAAGACAGATGTCACACAGAGATCGCCAAGGAACCCAGGAATGCTGGGGCTACAGAGGCCGAGACAAGGATCTTCCCCCGGAGCAGACAGAAAGAGAGCCTTCCCCTAGAGCCGGTGCTCTGAATTTGGACTTCTAGCCTCCTAAGCTATGAGAAAACAAATTTCTGTTGGTTAGAGTCACCCACGTGTGGTATTTCTGTTATAGGCGCATTTCGGACTAAGACAGCCCCCATGACAGAGGGAGCCTAGTTAAGTACCCAGATACCTACCACCCCACAGGAGACCCCTTTGCTGAGCAGCCCAGCCCAGAAAGCACACTCCTGACCTGCCCGCTCCCAGCGCAGAAACCCACGCCGCGCACAGGAGTAGGAACTCACGCCTGCCGCGGGGGCGCACGCCTGCCCATCCGCTCGCTCACCGCGCCCGCCATTCAGCAGACAGGAGGATGGCGCGTGGTAGAGAGCAAAGGCTCTGATGAACGCAGGGAGGAGAAGGAGTGAGGATGGCTGTGTGAAAAGTGGGTGCGATGGCCACGTCAGACTGTGTCATCTCGTTTGATGGCCAGACCCTCACCAGTAAAACTGAAAGCACTTAGTTTTTGGTGAAAATACACACAGCAGATCATATGCCCACTCAGCAGTTTCTACAGGTACAATTCAGTGACGTTGGTTACGTTCTTCACGTTGTGGCAAAATACAACAGAGCTATCCAAGATAACAAAGCTTTCTGGTAACCTGGGCGAAAAGTCGGAAGGAGCTACAGCTGATGGCAGAAAAGGTCAGCCCGACTGCAGCTGTCCCGACAGTGCTGGTTCAACACCAGGAATGGGGTGGGGAGGGAAGCACAATTATAAGGAAAGGAAACCCGTTGCCGTCGAGTCGATCCTGACCAGAGTAGAACTGCCCCATAGGGTTTCCAAGGAGCGGCTAGTGGACTCGAACTGCCGACCTTTTGGTTAGCAGCCTAGCTCTTAACTACTTCGCCACCAGCGTTCCAACAAGAAAAGTAGAAGGTGGGCAATTGTGTTGAGAATAACTGAATTGACCCCATGCACAGTGGACTCCAAAGATCCGAGTACAGTGTCCATGTGTTACAAACCGTGTCATCTTTACTCGCATCTATGAGAAAGTAGAATAAAGAGCCCATCATCACTTTGGGCAGGAATTAATGAGAATGAACAAGCTCAATTCAATGAGCAAATCTGCTGCTGTTTTGTTTTGTTTTTTCATTACTGTGTTCAAAAGGAGCCCTGGTGGCACAGTGGTTAAAGTGCTTGGCTGCTATCAGAAAGGTGGGCAGTTGAACCCAACAGCTCCTCCACCGGCGAAAGATGTGGCGGTCTGCTTCTGTGAAGATGACAGCCTTGGAAACCCTATGGAGGGCGGTTCTCCTCTGTCCTGTAGCGTCACTGTGAGTCAGAATCACTCGACAGCAACATGTATTTTTGTTTGGTTGGTTCAATTATCTCTGTCACAAACATTTTACATGCAGCTGTCTCCAAGTGTCGACTGGATTGGGACCATCGCTTTGCTTAGTCAATGAATGTGTTTGTGCCACAAAACAAACCAACCAAAAGTACGGCTTCCGAGGGCCCGGGAAGGCAGGATTTCTGCCAGCAGGTCTTTAGCCAAAGATGAAATCCAAGTCCCGCGTCCTAAGCGATTAGCACCCGTCAGCCGTCCATTTTTCCGCACTCACCTTCACGTCCCACTGTGCCTCCTTCCCAGCCCTACAAGCAGTGCAACGTGCTGAGTGCCGACACCACCCGCAACCTCATGATCTGCTTCCTCTGGATCATGAAAAACGCCGATCAGAGCCTCATTCGGAAGTGGATTGCCGACCTGCCTTCCATGCAGCTAAACAGGATTCTGGACCTGCTTTTCATCTGTGTCTCGTGTTTTGAGTACAAGGTAAGTGTGGGCCGGCTGGTTGTGTGCCGGCCTTTGTCTCCCACGCTCAGACCTGGCCTGTGACGGCCCCCTTTGTGTGGGCCATGGAGGCATCGTTAATTTTTCTCGTGTCTGCGCTCACATCCATAACCTGTTTGCGTTGTGGACACGATCATTCCACAGGCAAGGGGTCTCTGTCTAACCCCAATTATTCCATCACAAACATTTTATGTGTAGCTCTTTCAAAGTGTTGGTGTGATTAGGGTCATCGCTTTGGTTAGTAAATAGCCAAAGCAGGATTTCGTCCAAAAGATTCCCCCAAAGCAGTATCTCTGTAGCGTGGGGAGCCATCAGCACGTGGCTAACCAGTGCTGCAGGCACCGGGAGTGTTCTGTTTGGAGGGTGCTCTCCGTGGACAGAGATCTCACCCGGCGAAATGTCCTCTTCGTCTGTCCTGCCCAGGGAAAGCAGAGCTCAGACAAGGTCAGCACCCAGGTCCTGCAGAAGTCCAGGGACGTCAAGGCCCGGCTGGAGGAGGCGCTGCTGCGTGGGGAAGGGGCCCGAGGAGAGATGATGAGGCGTTGCCGGACTCCAGGTGTGCGGGTGGGGTGGGGTTCCAGGGGTGCGGGTGGTGGGTGGGGCCCCAGGTGTGCATGTAGGGGGTGGGGCTTCAGGTATTCAGGTGGGAGATGAGGCTGTAGGTGTGGGGATGGAGGATGAGGCTCCAGGTGTGCAGGTGGGGATGGGGCTCCAGGTGTGTGGGTGTGGGTGGTGCTGGCCCTGCCCAGCTTTCTGTCAAGAGCTTTGAGCTCCTCCCCTTCAAGGAGCGGCCATCCTAAGAGCACAGGAACCCTGAAATGGCCTGGAATGGCGTCTTCTAACTCAAACCCGTGGTCGAGTTGTGCCCATCAAGGCAGCAGCTTCTCCAGGGGCATTTGACTAGTTTAGCTAGACTAGTCCCTGAGTGTTGCAAATGGTTAACGTCCTTGGCTGCTAACCAAAAGGTTGGAGGTTCAAGTCCACCCAAAGGCACCTTAGAAGAAAGGCCTGGCAATCTACTTCTGAAAAATCAGCCATTGAAAACCCTACGGAGTGCAGTTCTCCTCTGACACACGTCGGAGTGCCGTGAGTCAGAGTCAACTCAGCAGCAACTGGAAAATCTAGGTCATGACCAAGAAAGTGGATAGTTCTGGTCCCAAGATCATGCACCAAGTCATTTGGGAGCACTGTTAGAATGGGAGTTGGTACCCCAAACAATCTCAGTGTGTTCTCGTCCCCCAGGGACCCCACCCACCAGGAATGATCTCAAAAAGGCTGAACTGTAGATAGAATGAACTGCTCAGGTCCCTTTAGCTTGTGTGCTGAGCTCCAACTAAAACAGAGAGACAGCTTGTCCAGTGCCACGGGGCACAGTGACGGGGAGCTTGGAGAGAGCTCCACGTTTTCAGGGGTGGTGGGGCACCTTTATTCAACCCCCACGCTTTCCTTTCCAACAACTCAGTGGGAAACCCAGAGCCTCACGGAACGCTCTGTTCCTGAGAAACGGGCTCCCTGATGCCCCAGGAAGGCAGGGCAAGGGTCTTCCGCAGCTCTGGCTCACCTGTTAACGAGCAGACCAACCCACCATGGGATGGAGGCTTTGCTCCACCGGCATCCAACATGGCCGCCCGTCAGTGGGAGGAGGGCTGCTGAGCCGGCTCTGTGACGGAACTTCCGGTTGTCCGGGAGGGTTCCGTGCTGATCAAATTCCTATCGTGCTTTTCTTACCTCCTAGGGAATGACCGATTTCCAGGCCTCAGTGAAAACTTGAGATGGAGAAAAGAGCAGACGCACTGGCGGCAAGCTAACGAGAAGCTAGATAAGTACGTCGCTCAACCACTTTGTGCGACTTTTACCCAAAGTCCAGAACTGCTGTTCCCAGGCTACTTGCATTACTGACAACCACGAAAGACATCCTTCCACGGGGAGGAAACTCAGACATCCTATCTGTGTGAATGCAGTTCGTCCCCGGGGGGCAGGATAACAAAAGAATAAGGAACTATGATTTCCAGCTCTTACAGTTTACCACATTGATGAACATTTCGAGAAAACTAATAGCTAGCAGCCTCAGATAGCATAACCAAAGCAGCCTATGGGGGCTGGGGAAGACAGAGACAAATAGAGTAAGCAGCACAAGACCGCATCATTTCACATCCACGTTTCCACGGGGGAAATGTGTCTAAAGATGGACATTCAGGGATATTCTTGTCAGCATTATTTAAAACTGTTTTAAAAAAAAAAAAAAAAAAGGAGGGGGACATAATCTCAAGTCTCTAACTGCATGTATGCAGTTAAAGGCTGGGAGGAAAAGTACGAAAATCTCAACAGTGGTTTTCTTCAGTGTTGGGAATGTAGGTAATTGGTGTTCTCTTCTTTACACTTGGCTGGTTGTCCTACAGGGGATGTGTATTTTTATCAGAAAAAAATACAAAGAAATGAAAGAGGAATAATCCTGTTTGGCTTTCCAATAGATAATGGAGCCCTGGTGGCACAATGGTTAAGTGCTCGGCTGGTAACCGAAAGGCTGGCATTTCGAACCTGCCCAGCAGCTCTGTGGGAGAAAGACCTGGTGATCTGCTTTCATAAAGATTACAGCCAAGACAACCCTATGAGACAGTTCTACTCCGTCACATGGGGTCACTCTGAGTCAGAATCAACTCAATGGCATCCAAAAACAACGATCGATGGATGGATGGACGGACGGATATATCTTATGTATCCAACATTTAGACATATGAAGACGGAAACTAAATTGGTTGGAATAGATAGCACATGTCTCCTGTTCCTGTGAGTAGTAGGTATCCTTTTGAATCCCAAGAGTCCCTGAGCAAAGGATTGTAGGGTTAAAGGGCTCCCTACTGGATAAGGCACGGGTAGGACATCCTGTAAAGCACCCATCATAAGGTGGGGCAAGGAGGCACACCTGAATAGCAATGGTGTTTCGTAAATAAATACGAGTAAGTATCCTTGTTGCTACCACCTGCATTAGTTCTGAAGGACGACTGTGACAAATTAGCACAAATAGAGTGGCCTGAAACACCCGAAATTTCTTTCTCTCGGCTCTGGAGAGCGGAAGTCCAGGATTCAGGTGTCAGCAGGGACTCACTCCCTCTTAAGGCTCTGGCGGGAATCCGTCTTTGCCTCTTCCGGCCTCTGATGGCCCCAGGCGTTCCATAGCTGTGGCAGCATCACCCCAATCTCTCTGTGCGTTTGTGTCTTTTCTCCTCTTTGTATAAGGACACCGCTCACGTTGGATTAGGGTCCACCCTGCTCCAGTACAACCTCAGGCTAACTTAACCCATTGCATCACAAAGACCTTATTTACAAATAAGGCCACATTCACAGAAAGGAGGTCTGTTAGGACTGGCACATTTCTTTTTGGGGGACACAATTCAACCCATAACACCATGAGAATGAACACTTCTAGTCCACTTACGGGACTTTTGGGAGTCTGATTTGTTTAAAAACATTGAAGAGAGAAACATTTTTATTATAGATGTTACTTGGAAAACTCAGATGTTTGTTTTATTAATATATCCATTTGCTTTAAATATTTTATTCTTGCTCTGAACTCCCTGGAATGATTTATAAGATATTTGATTCTGAGAGTCCATAGTTCAAGTTCAGGCCGTGAACGACAACAACAAAAGCAAGCAGCTGCCGCCAGAGAACTGCTTAGGTAATGAAGACAGCAGCCGTGCAGAATTACAGGCTGAGTCTAACAAGGCATGTGTCCTCTGGGCTGTGTAAATCGAGGTTTGGGGAAAGCTTTCCCTTTTGCTTGCAGTAACAACACAGTGCACCTCATACACAGCCACCACCTGTCTGTCAGCTTTTTTGGTTTAGTGGGAAATTGGAGTCCTGTGGTGCAAACGGTTTGCACTTGGCTACTAACCAAAAGGTTGGCAGTTCAGATACACCCAGGGGCGCCATGGAAGAAAGGTCGGGCAATCTGCTTCTGTAAAGATTGCAGTCAAGAAAACCCTATGGAGCACGGTTCTATTTTGTAACACATGGGGTCGCCATGAGTTGGAATGGGTTTAGTTTAGCGGGTAATGGGAGTCCCTGTTGGTAAGAATGGTTAAGGCTCTTAGCTGCTAACTGAAAGTTGGAAGTTCAAGTCCACCCAGAGGTGCCTCAGAAAGAAGGCCTGGTGATCTGCTTCCATAAAGATTACAGCCAAGAAAACTGGATGGATCACAGTTCTACTCTGACACACATGTGGTCACCACGAGTTAGTGGTGACTTCAAGGCAACTGGTCATGGGTAATGACCAGTGATGCCCAGCAGGGTGGTAGGTGACCCACCCCACAGGGATGCAGCCTTGGTTCCCACTGGAAAGGGACCCAGCCCATGCAGAGGAGTGACAAAAGGCTGGACTTGACTCCGCAGAAGTCAGAAGCCTGACATTTCCTTGACCTAGTTTGGAAGCATCACCATGCCCTTGGCAGCGTCACTGTTCGCCTAATTCACACCACACCCAGCCTCACTGTCTGCAGCCTGTGGCTCAGATCCAGAGATCGTTCTCCTGCATGGAACGCTGAATGGCCCCAGCCACTAGTCAACAATCTGATTCTCTAGCCTGATTGCTAACAGCAACCAATAATTGTTTCTCTACCCGTTCTTGTTATTTTATGATTGTCATCATTGTTAGTAATAGTGGGGATGATGATGGCCTGGAAACTTTACCTAGACCATCCTTCCAACCAGACGCGCCAGTCGCAGAAAACACCCAGCATTCCACGGTTACCTGCAGCCAGCTGCTTTGTTTTTATTTGAGGTTGACTGTTCTGGAGATTTCTTCACGCTTTGGTGCATGGATTGCCATTGCTGAAATATGTCCAAGTTTGACGTGTGCTTTGCTTTGATCTCTTTTTGTTTTCTAGAACAAAGGCAGAGCTAGATCAAGAGGCCTTGATCAGCGGCAACCTGGCCACAGAGGCGAACTTAATCATCTTGGACATGCAGGAAAATATCATCCAGGTGAGGCCAAAGAACACCTAATCAGTTCAACAAGAACATGTTTACAGGAATTTAAAAGGAATCCTTTATACAGCATTGTGAAAGAAGTGAGCACGATCCCAAAATGCCTTTTTTTTTTTTTTAAATGAAGTCAGGACGTTGGTGTTTACGATAGTGTCCACCTTGCAAATTCCACAGATACCGAACATTTTTCTGGCTTCTTTGAGTTGCTGTTCACTTGGAAAGGGTTTGTATGCTTGACAAGCTGGCTGGCCCTTGTGGTTAAATACACCAGAGTGTGTACCAAGCTTATAATAAGTGTGGATGGTGGGCTTATTGTTCAGTATCTAGAACAAGGAAGGCAAATAGTTTCTTCTGATGGGTCAACTCCAGTGATTGATGCAGCCATCAATCCTGTCTGGTTTGGGAGGTAAGGCTATGACTGGGCTAGGTTAAAAAAAAAAGTACTGAGTTTGATTAATGATGTCTGCTTCAGGCACAAATCGGAGAACGGAAGGGGTCTGTGCCATGTATTTGCCTGTAGAACAGCATCATTGTGAACTTTTCAGTGACACAATTCACCATCCTAATTTTATCTTCTAGGTAGATGTTCCCCAAAACTCCTAAGTCTAGGTGATAATGGGTTTTTAGTACTGCTGAAAAATGAGTCCATTGGAACTTAATAATTAAGCCCCATGGAAAAATGTTTCCACTGAGAAATCATTTATTAGAATAGATCTAGTATTGATTTTTAGGGCTCGAAGAAATATTGTTGAAACACAGTGCAACCTTCCTTATCCAGCTTTTAGATTGTCTAAAATCAAAGTAATTATTATACAAAAATAAAGACAAAAAGAACGTGGCATCTTTGATAACTTTGATATCTTTGATAATTTAAATGCCTGACATCACATAGATGATATCTTTATGTGACACTACTTTGAGAGCTATATGCCTACCCTCCGTCCCCAGAATGCACCCACAATTTTCAAAGGGAGCTGAAATGTAATAGCCATTATCCATGGTGTTGTTAGTCCTGCTGTAGCTGAGAAGAGGTCTCTGGGTGGAGCAAAGGTTAAGCTCTTGGCTGCTAACCAAAATGTGGGCAGTTCAAGTTTACGCAGCAGCTGCATAGGAGAAAGATCTAGCAGTATGCTTCCGTAAAGATTACTGCCAAGAAAACCCAGGGGTCAGTTCTAATCTGTCACATGGGGCCACTATGAGTCGGAATTGACTCAATGTCACCTAACGACAACTAACTGAAAGATCGGTGGTTCGCAACCACCGCGGCCTCCTCCAGACGGAGTCCAGCACAACTAGAAGGTGCCCGGCTCCCACCACTGATGGCTCTGACAGGGTACACAACAGAGGGTCCTGGACAGAGCTGGAGAAAAATGGAGAACAAACTTCTAACTCACAAAAAAAGACCAGACTTCCTGGCCTGACAGAGACTGGAGAAACCCTGAGAGTATGGCCCCCGGACACCCTTTTAGCTCAGTAATGAAGTAAGTCACTCCGGAGGTTCACCATTTAGCCAAAGATTAGACAGACCCATACTACAAAACGAGACTAAAGGGGCACAACAGCTCAGTGGCAAGGACTGGAAGGCAGGAGGGAACAGGAAAGCTGGTAATAGGGAACCCAAGGTCAAGAAGGGAGAGTACTGACATGTCATGGGGTTGTCAACCATCATCATAAAACAAGATATGGACTAACGGTTTAATGAGAAGCTAGTTTGTTCTGTAAACCCTCACCTAAGTTAAATTTTAAAAAGTTATAAAAAATAATAATAAAATAAAAATCTCATTTTACAAATCAAAAAAAAAAAAAAGATTGGTGGTTCGAATCCACCCAGCAGCGCTTCGGAAGAAAGGCCTGGAGATCTGCTTCCATAACGATTACAGCCAAGAAAACCCTATGGGGTACAGTTCTACTCTGTAACACATGGGATCACCATGAGTCAGAATCAACTGGATGGCAACAGAGTTTGTTTGCTTGTTTGGCAGCTTATAAATAAGCTTGATTTAGAAATACTGCTGCCACCAGGCAGCCCCTGTTGTATTGGGAAGCCCACAGTTGTGTATTTAAAGAAGAAAGCTATGCCTTGTGTGGGGAGAAAGAACATTACCAAGTCTGTGGCCCAGGATGGGGACAGTGTGCCTTATAACTTAGCTCAGGAACCCAGAATTAGGTATCAATCCCAGATCAATTGGGAGCTTTGGAACAAGGTCGTATGGAAACACGTCTTCATCTCTCACAGGTGATGGATGATAGCGTGGTGGCTCACCAAACCTGTAAGACAGGAGGTGAGCCATCAGCCTCGCTGTGCTGATTAGCACAGGTGTTGAGGGCAGAGGGCAGGATTCAGCCGTGCTATTCTTCTGTTCCCCCAGGCCACCTCGGCTCTGGACTGTAAAGACAGCTTGCTGGGAGGTGTCCTGAGGGTCCTGGTGAATTCTCTGAGCTGTGATCAGAGCACCACGTACCTGACGCACTGCTTCGCCACGCTCCGAGCCCTCATTGCCAAGGTAAATGCGGGCTGCTGGTTTTCTGGCTCTTAATGACGAGTAGGGTTCGTCTAGCTGCACACTTCTGTCTCAGGGCAGCCAGACCCCACAGTGTATCAGGGGGCATGACAGCTTCCCAGGAGAAAGCAGAGGCAGTGATTCCACAGAAAATCCCTACAAGGCGGGAAAACGGGCTCTGCCGCCTGAAATGTGGGCCCAGCTGTAGGCATTTGCAGCCGCCACTCACAGAGGGTCTAGGATGTGCGTGCAGACACCAGTCAAGTAGCTTTGCCTTTCAACTTGTTTAATATCGGCTCTGAGTGGAATGAAAGGAGCACTGGTGGTACAATGGTTAAGCGCTCAACCGGTAACCAAAAGGTCGGCGGTTCGAACCCACCCAGCAGCTCCACAGGAGAAAGACCTGGCTGTCCGCTCCGATAAAGATTACAGCCTAGGAAACCCTATGGGGCAGTTCTACCCTGTCCTATAGGGTCACTAGGAGTCGGGATCAACTCGGCGGCACACAACAAGTACGTCAAAAGCCCTACACGTGACAATTATTAGTAAGTCTTATGAAATATCATGTCATAAAATGCCAGGAGGTTTAGAAAGAAACTTCCCGCAGCCTCAGGGATGTAGATTGTCCTTAGGTGAAATGGGCCGGGGAGGTTACGTCTTCCCCCTTATTGAACGTCTCGTTTGGTGCCTTCTACGCAGGATTGTTGAAATTTAGAAAGTGGAATTCTCCTGCCCTCCACCATCAAGGCCACTTTCCCTTTCTGGTACCAGTAATTTTCAGGAGCCCCAAGAAACTAAGAATAATCCCTCCAAAGTTGTGACTTCGACAGTGAATGCAACCCAGCTAGCAATGCTGTTATTAACGCACCCTTAATGTTGCTCGGCCGCTAACCAAAAAGGCAGGAGGTTGGAGTCCACCTGGAGGTGCCTCAGAAGAAAGGCCTGGCAATCTATGTCCGAAAGACCACAGCCATTGAAAACCCTGCGGAGCACAGTTCTACTCTGACACACGTGGGGTCTCCAGGAGTCGGAGTCGGCTTGTTGGCACCCAGCTTTTACCTTGGTTGTTCAATTCGTAATTAAATCTTGAGTCAACTGCGTTGCTTCAGCCCATCTTCTGACTCAGGTGGCTCGTTATGTTTAGGGACCCGTGTGTTAACTCTTCTGGGCTTTCTGCTTTGCCAAGCAGACCTTTGCAGCTTCCAGCAGGCTTCTAGCGCAGCAAGCAGGTAGGTGTGCCAAGTGCTGGCTAATGGCCCCTGTGTCTCTCCTAGTTCGGAGACTTGCTGTTTGAGGAGGAGGTGGAGCAGTGTGCAGACCTCTGCCAGCGCGTGCTGCATCACTGCAGCAGCAGCATAGATGTCACCCGGAGCCAAGCCTGCGCCACCCTCTACCTGCTCATGAGGTTCAGCTTCGGAGCCGTCAGTGTAAGAGCTCAGACCCTCTGGGGACCCGGTGTCCATAGAGACAGTCAATGCAAGGCACTGATCCAGAGGCAAACAATGAGCCAGAGTTTGCAGTATTGCCGTTTACGTCTGTCCTGTGGGAAAGAAACAGTTGAGTGTAGAGATGGACAACATCTTTAGTTTGAATTTGCATCTGAAAGTGAATATCAAGACGGGGAAAACAGTAGTTTCCAGCGGTAGGTTTCAACAGGAAATGAATGAATCTGTGTAGATTCAGAGTTATCAGCTGTGGAGGGAAATGTAGGAGGTAGGCTAAGAGTGCCAGAGATGTTGTCCTGTAGTCTAGATTCTGATTGGCTGGCAGCAGAGCAGCCTGTGGAAGAGAATTTTAAACCGTCAGTATTTGTTAAACGCGGGTTTCCATCAAAGCTTAGCAGCCTTTGGAGTTCAGCTTGGTTGCAGTCAACCTTTGCTCTTGTATGTCTAGATTTGGGTCTGTTCTTTTGGAATTTCCATTTGGGGTCAAGTTCATGAGTGTGCCTGAGCAACAGCAAAAGATAAATTGGCCCATGGAAGAAAGGCAGGGTCCTCAGAATATAACAGGGATGACTATTTGCAAGTCTTTAGGACATTCCTCAGGGACCCTTGGGATAGCCGTATTTTTCCACGGGCCTGGAAGGAAAGGGAACAGAAAGTGGCTGCCTGCCTGGAGTCTGAAATCTCAGAAATCCTTGCCCTGGAGATGCCATTTCTCTCTGCAGTTTAAATAAAGCCCCAAGAAGAAGAATCTTGGCCAAAAAGGATAAATCCTATGGCCCAGTGTTACAGGAATATTCCAGCCAGCTAGCACGGAAGCAGCCCAATCCTAAATTAAAATTTAAAGGGAGCCGGATGGTACAAGCAGGATTTATGTCGGAGCACTATCCATTTAAACAGTCAGCTGACTTTTGTGCAGAGTGCAGTTCACATTTCACTGAGAGACAAGGAAGCCAGGGAGACTTGCGGGGGTAAGAAAAACAACTGGCTCTTGTTGGTGTCTGGCTCTACGGACTTCACCTACCTAACAGCTGAGTGCCTCTTCTTTGCTCCTTTTTTTTTTTTTCTTCCTGGTGCAGAACTTTGCAAGAGTAAAGATGCAAGTGACCATGTCTCTGGCATCCTTGGTGGGCAAAGCACCAGACTTTAATGAGGAGCATCTGAGAAGATCCTTGAGGACGATTTTGGCCTATGCAGAAGAGGACACGGCCATGCAGACCACTCTCTTCCCTGCCCAGGTGGGCTGAAGGCAGGCCTGGTCTTCTCCAGGGTTGGGCATCAGCCAGTTATAAACTCGCAGATATGTATATATAGTCCCCATGAGTCAGAATCAACCCAGCAGCAACGGGTGAAATACATATACATATATATATACAGGGGCCCTGGTGGCACAGTGGTTAAGAGCTCAGCTGCTAACCGGAAGGTCAGCAGTTCGAATCCACCAGCTGCTCCTTGGAAACCCTATGGGGCAGTTCCACTCTGTTCTCCCATAGAGCCACGTGAACCACTGACCTTTCGGTTGGCGGCCAATCGCTTAATCATTGCGCTACTAGGCTCCTTGGAAATTTGTGAGAACAATAATCTCTTCTGTCTCCATTACAATGCCTAATGGAGTTCTAGCATGTCTCATTTCTCTTTTAACTCCAGCTCCTAATCTAGAGCCTACTATATATACACCCACTCCTCAATTATTGACATGGTTAGGTTCCAAAGACCAGGTTGTTATGCGAAAATTAGCGTTATGCGAAAACGGAGGATGCCCACATCAATCACAAAATGGAGGATGATTACATTATTACATAACTGCCAAATAACATCATAACAGAACCGCCAACCACTGAAAATCATGGCCCAGCCAAATTGACACATAACCTTGACCATCACAGCCAGCGTGACTGTTGCTTCACACCTCGGCGTTCATTACTGCCAGACGTATGTCGTTAATGCACAAAATAGATAGTAGATTTTTTTACTGTTGTCATAAATGTGAAATGCTGGATAATGAGATAGTCAGTAAGTGAGGAGTAGGTGTAGAAGGTTCTCAGTTAAGTGTGTACTGAATGAATGACTGAGTGCTTTTCTTCCTTCCTTTGGTCCAAGAGCCCTATTTGCTGAGTCTCTCCTGTCCTCTCTGTAACGCTGCGTTGTCCCTCTCAGAATCTTCTTCCTCTCCCCTTCTCTCCCGTTTCCTCTCAAGCATGGGCTCTCTCCAATCTCATCATGTGTGCAGAGGTATTTACCAGCAAGGCTAAGCAAAACACAGACAGGTTAATGGAGGCCTTCGATGCCTTACCCCAATGCAGTGAATCCAGTGGTAGAAATTTTAAGGCCCAGCAAGCTGGTGCAGAGGAGAGGGGGCAGGACCAACGTTCTGCAGCCGAGCCCCTTGTCAGGGTCTGCAGACCAATCAGAGTCTCTGATCCTCTCTGTGCTTCAGGCTCTGCCGGCTTCTCCTCTGCTGGCTTTTGTGATTAAGAACAAGTGGTAGCAAGAGGTTTGAGACTTTGAGTCGGTGGGAAGATCCAGGAAACTCCTGAGACGTGGTACCCAAGCTGAGGTCCTAAGCTGCCTCCTCCTTGGATAAGAAGCCCTGATGTTCCAGTGTAGAGGTTAGGACTTTTCAGGTTGCAAATAACTGAAACTAAGTTAAACCAAAATGTGGTGGAGAGGGAGATAGAAGGATTCAGGGCTAACTCATGGATCCCAAGGGCTGACTCACATCTGGACCTCAGAGCATCTGGCCCAGTGAAGATGAAGGCCAAGAGAATCCCGTCTAGACCCCCCTGCAGCTCTGATCTCTCCTTCCCCCTGCACTTCCAATGATACCTGAACTCCTCACTAGGGCTGCAAAGCCAAGATTGTCTGGGTACCGCTGCTTTTTGCAGGTGGAGGAACTTCTGTGCAATCTGAATAGCATCTTATATGACACCGTGAAGATGAGGGAGTTTCAGGACGACCCTGAGATGCTTATGGACCTCATGTACCGGTAAGCTTTTCTGGAAGAAACCAAAACAGGGTCACAGGAAGGACTAGGATGTGTCGCTGTGGAGCTGTTACTAATGTGATCATCACGGGCAACGTGGATACACTGTTTTGGATGACGTCCAATAGAAATTAATGGAAATTAAACATTCAGAGTGGGTTGATTCTTATACACGTTTTCAAAAACATCTCCCTAATTCAAAGTGAGGAACCTAGTTCACAACACTGTCTTCTACTTTTTGGATTCCCTGGGTGGTGCAAATATTTAATGTGCCCGGCTGCTAACCAGAAGGTTGGCAGTTCAAGTCTACCAAGAGGCACCTCAGAAGAAAGGCCTGGTGATCTGCTTCTAAAAATTCAGCCATTGAAAACCCTATGGAGCACAGTTCTACTCTGACACGCATGGGGTCGCCATGAGTTGGGGTCGACTCCATGGCAATTGGTTTATCTTCTACCAACCATAGAAGGAAAGAAAAAAATGATCAATTCTTATGCAAATCATTTCCTATATGGTTTTTCCCCAATCAGTTTTTCAAACGTGTCTGCATAGTTTTACTTTAGGAACCGTGTTTTACTCTGGAATTTAAAACCTGGCCTTGCAGTCCTGGTTCCGGAGAAAATACTTACAGGGACAAAACTACTCTGATACACATCGTAAGAAGGGGAATACTTTTGTCTTCTGTTATTATTTTGAGAGAAGTAGACTGCTGGGGATCCATTCAAATCTACAGCGTTCGATCAGGTCCTTTATCCCCATAAAGTTTTTGTTGGTGGTGTTATTTTGTGCCAGCCAGTCGATTTCGACTCGGAGCGATGCCATGTGACAGAGTAGAGCTGCCCCATACGGTTCTCTAGGCTGTAATCTTTGTGGGAGCAGATCACCAGGTCTTTCTCCCACAGAGTGGCTGGCAGGTTTGAACCACCAACCTTCTGGACGGCAGCTGAGCACTTAACCATTGCACCACCAGGGCTCCTATAAGGTTTTTACTGAATGCTATTTCGTAGGCTCTAGCACACCCTAGACATGGCATGAAGACAGCTGGATTGATAAATGTTTGCTTTTTCTCTCATTTTCTAAATATGTAGCAAAATTGTTGGCGGGATAGGGGGGAACTCACGGGAAAAAGTGACCACACACCGTAGAAGAACAGTGTCATGGGCCAGGTGTCCCTGAAACTCTTCCTCACTGTCTTCAGAATTGCCAAGAGCTACCAGACTTCTCCTGACCTGCGGCTGACCTGGCTCCAGAACATGGCAGAGAAGCACACCAAGCGGAAGTGCTACACGGAGGCCGCCATGTGCCTGGTGCACGCAGCCGCCCTGGTGGCCGAGTACCTGAGCATGCTGGAGGACCACAGCTACCTGCCCGTGGGCAGCGTCAGCTTTCAGGTGAGGCGCGAGCTCAGCTTTTCATTCGGAGCCATGGTTCCCAAGGGGAGGCAGTTTTGCCACCCCCGGGGAACAATCGGCCGTGTCTGGAGACATTTTTAATTGTCACAACTCGGGGTGGGGAGAGGGGGCTACTGGCATCTAGTGGGTACAGTCACAGGACATCCCTCCAACCAAACAGTTATCCAGCCTTGAGTGTCAGTAGTAGCAATCCCTTTACCATCTTGTATTTTAAAAAAAAAAAATTATCGTCTGCTATAATAATAATAAACCTGTTGCCGTCAAGTTGCTTCCGACTCATAGCAACCCGATAGGGTAGAGTAGAACTGCCCCATAGGGTATCCAAGGAGCAGCTGGTGGATTCGAACTGTCAACCTTTTGGTTAGCAGCCAAGCTCTTAATCACTGTGCCACCAGGGCTCCATAATAATAATAATAAATTGCTATCAAGTCAACTCTGACTCATGACAACCCCATGTGTGTCAGAGTAGAACTGTGCTCTGTAGAGTTTTCAATAACTGTTTTTTCACAAGTAGATCATCAGGCCTTTCTTCTGAGGCTCCTGTGGGTGGACTCAAACCTCCAACTTTTCAGTTAGCAGTCAAGTGCCTTAACTGTTTGTACCACCCAGGGACTCCAAATAATGATATACTGTAATATGATATTACTACGTATAATACAATATTATTAACTAATATAATGTTACTATTATAACAACTAATAATACTATCATAATGGTAGTATTTACTATATATACTCATAATGGAGTCGATGGGCACTTTAGAAACTCCCAGACACCTTTGCACGTGTGATTTCACTTGACCTTCCCCAAAAGCCTGTGAAACAGGAAGATATTAGTAGGGCTGTCCCACAGATGAAGGAACTGAGAGAGAAAGCAGTTAAGGTCACTTGAAGTCTTTCTTTGGTCACAAAGACCTGTGGTTGGCACAGTAGACTGACAGCCGTAAAAGTGTTTCTCAAACATTGGACAGTGACACAGTGGCTCCAACAGTGGGCTCAAGTATAACAACGATTGTGAGGATGGCGCAGGCCCGGGCAGTGTTTTGTACTGTTGTACGTGGGATTCTATGAGTCGGAACCGACTCAACGGCACCCAACAACAACAACAGCAGCAAACGTTGGAGAAATGTTTGCCCTTCTGGCCTGTTCCTTCGTTCCACTTCCCAACTCTGTAATGCCCCACTCTCTAATCCAAAATCAAGAATGAACCAAAGTGATCTGGGGTGGAAAAAGAAAAAAGGCTGAATCAGTGCTTCTTAGGAAAAGCTGACAATGACCCATCGTTGGCAAGGAACTTGTCTGCCAAACCTGAGAGCTGGCTCCGACGCGGCGGTACAGTAGCCACTTGGACAGCTTGTACTGAAGAGTTTAACGAAGTCTTTCAAAACAAAACAAAACAAAAACCAGTTTTATAAGTAGTTTGTTTTTTTTTCGAAGATACGCTCTTTAGAGATGACCATCCCTGAAACCATGAACGATACAGCACCAGAAATAAGCTCGATTCAGTCCAGACTTCCAGAGTCACTTACAGGCGTTTGCATTATTCTTGTTGGAATTTACGTAACTGATTTTATGAATGCCTTTGTTTTCATTATTGTTCTTCCAACACAATTTTGTGATGCTGTCCGTGTGAACCAGCCAGAGAAGACAGTTCAAAGTAACTTTCCCAGGCTTCGAGAATAAGTCACCAAAACTATCCCTGGTAGAGCCAGACTTCCTGATTTCTAGAATGCTGTCCATCTGCCCAGTGGGGTATGGCCTCCTATGATTAACTCCTCTTTTGTCCCCAGTAACAAAAATATTTATTCTGTGATTCCACTTTGGCAAATACATTTTATCCTCAATCCGGAGCGCTTGTTATATGCCCCTCTGAAAGCCAAGAATTAGATTGTCAACCAGAAGCATAAAACATATTACGTCTGGTTTTGAATCACATAAACATGAACCACAACATTATAAAAATTGTTTGTGATGGGTCCGCCTCTTTCATCCAATTTATTTTGGCCATTTGGTGTAATCAAGAATAAATATTATAGTACGACTTGCAACTCCCAGAAAATCTTGAGGTTGACCACTTAATGTCGAATCGTGTCCTCCCCTTTTGTTGTTTCATTAGCTGAAGTATTTCTTATAATTCTTTCGCGCCCCTTACCCAACTGATATATTTTTATTGTAGTAAATATATAAATACACAAAAGCACTTTTGCCATTTCAACATTCTTTCCATGTACAATTCAGTGACTTAACTGCGTTCATCATATTGTGCAACCATCACCACTATCCATTTCCAAGTTTTTCCATCACCCTGAACAGAAGCTCAGTGTCCCCTAAGCAATGAGTCTCCCTTTTCCCCTCCCTCCCTCCCACCCCTGGTCACCACTAATAAACTTAGGTCTGTAGACACTTGCCTATTCTAGGTATGTCCTGTAAGTGAAGTCATACAATACCTGTCCTTTAGTGTCTGACTTACTTCACTCAGCGTGACGTTCTCAAGGTTCGTCCGTGTTGCAGCACGGATCAGAGCTCCATTCCTTTTCATGGCTGAGTAATATTCCATCGTGTGGATAGACCACGTGGCTTACCCATTCATCTGTTGATGGACCCAGTTAATCCATTGATTTGCTTACAACAAGACATGCTGAGGTGAAACAGAACGCATATTCCACAGCTAACAGGAAAATTCCACATTGTCCTTGCACAGGGCATATGGCTGTATCTTTTCCTATATCTCTATCCATTCATTCATTCTTTTAGGTAACATGTACAGAGCACTTATCCTGCCCCATGGATTTTCCGTTCTAGCCAGAGGAAGAGAAGTCAACTCTTCCATTCCTGATTCAATTACGAGTACGGGAGGTGCTGTTTAAAATCAGCACGAGGTGCTGTGAGTGTTGATAATGTGACCTCGCCTGGCGAGTCATGAGGCAGCGGTGGTTCGGTGGTAGAGTTTTCACCTTCTGTTCAGGAGACCCAAGTCTGATTCCCGGCCAGTGCACCTCATGTGCAGCCACCACCTGTCTGGCAGGGGAGGCTTGTGTGTTGCTTCGATGCTGAACAGGTTTCAGCAGAGCTTCCAGACTCAGACAGACTAGGAAGAAAGGCCTGGCAATCTACTTCTGAAAATCAGCCAGTGAAAACCCTGTGGCTCACAATGGTCTGATCCACAACCAATTATGAGGATGGCGCAGGACAGGGCAGCGCTTCGTTCCACTGTGCGTGGGATCATCAGGAGTTAGGGTCGACTCGACACAGCTAACAGCAACAACCTGGGGGTCTGAGAAAGCTCAGAGAGATGGGGAAGGGGAGGGGGAAGGCAGAGAAACCACAAAGCTTGACGGCTTCATGAAATACAGAACATGGTGAGCTAGGTGTTCTCTGCCACAGAAGAGAAGCCAAATTGTGTTGATGCTTATGGATGAATTCCCTTTTCTTTCAAAGGAGACATGCCAGGTCAGTCTAGAAATGTATGGTTGCAAGTGACAGAACACTCAGCCCAGCCTACCCTAAGCCAAAAATTCAATTCACCATCTCACCTGATGAATGTGAGCCAGAGAGCACCCACTTCAGGCCAAACTGGCCCTGAGGCCGAAACCAGGTCACCAGGCCTCGGAGTCATCACCACTTCCTGTCGCTGCCTTCTACTTCCTTCTCCACAGGCTCTGTACTGGCTGTATTCCAGGAGACAAGAGAGATGCTCACCTCCTGCAGTTGCTAAGGAATTCTCAGAGCATCTTATTGGCTCTGACTGGGTCATGTGCCCATCCCTGAACCAATCATAATGGCCAGGGAAATGCAGTGGTCTGATTGGCTGAGCCAGAGTCCTAGGGCCACACCTGGAGTTAGGGGTGGTTCCCCAAAAGAGAGTTAGTATACTCTACCTTAGGAGGATGAAGGAATTCTGAGCGTCATCAGAAACAGATGCTCGGTGTTGATTTCTTAAACACCCTGTGCTTTCGTTTCCAACCTTGTTCTGCTCCAATAAACATGAGCCTTTGGAAGAGAATTATATAATGGGGGTAAATAAATCTGTGCAAGGAAAATAGCATTGAGGCCGGTGGATTCCAAGGAACTGAGCTATCTGAAGGTCGGTGCCCCAGGGTATAGTACTCATTTCACAGATGTGGATGAGGATGCTGTGACTTTTAATTCCTGAATTCTGAAGCCAGGATAGTCTTCCCGGAACATATTCCCTCTGACTACCGCTTGTAAGGCCATGAAACTTCAAATCCGTTCTCTGCACGTGGGAAATTGCATACAATTCTGGTAGTATTGGTTTCCTGGGTTATTAGATTCTTTCAGCGGAATCTCCTGGACCTTCTGTTTTCTGCAGTTCAGAAACAACAGAGTAGAGAAACCAGTTTTGGAAGAAAGACTGGTCACAAAGGATTCTGAGAACCTCGCTGTAAGAATGACATGGGGGAGGAGTCTGACCTCCTCCAACCCCACAAGGGGGAAGGAGAACCGACATCAACAGTGCAAAGCTGACTCCCATGAGGTGGAGGCCAGACAAGCCTCTTCTGTCTGCCATCTTTACTAATTCTGACACCAACCATCCCTCACACAGCACCCTCTACTTCTCTGCTGAGTTCGATTATTCATTGCAATGGCCACACACATCTCACAGACCATACTCACGATTATGGGGTTTAGTAGGAAGTAACAGTTACACTTCAGGCTCAAGAACACTCAGGATACAGTTCTTCCATCACGATAGCCTCTCCCCAGCTGTACTCGCAGGCACACCTCTCCCTGGTCCTCAGTCTCTGCCCAGAGGCACTCAGCTTTCTCTCTCCGTGGGCTGGGAAGCCCACCACACTGTCCCCTGCTGCCGAGTCTCTGCTGCTGGGCTCTCCTTCCTTGGTGGTGGTGGACTCCTCCTCTCTGCCCTGGAATTAACTCTCTTTTAAGGCAAATCTGACCAATCCCCTTGGTAGGCCACAATTACCCTATCACACAGTCACTTGGGTGGGAATTACAAGACCACGGCTAGAAAAGCCACACACAAAGTAATTAATCGCACCGCACCCCTGAGTTCCTAAAACCGCATTACGATATCAGATGTGACAGGTCAGGGCAGTGACAACTGTCTCCTTGTTTGTTTTTTCAGGAGCTTCTTTTTTGTTGTTATTGTTGGAACTACACATAGCAAAACACACACCAATTCAACAATTTGTGGGTGTCCAATACAGTGACATTGATCACATTCTCTCAAATTGTGTAGCCGTTCTCACCCTCTACTGTCTCCTTGTTGATGGCTAAAGTTGAGTCACTTGATCTTGTGAGCCAGGCCAAAAGGCAGATGGATTTTGTCTCATAAGCTGGCTCTGATTCGCTGGCAGTGGCTGCCTGGCGCACTCTGCTGAAAAGAACTTTGAGGCCACATCTAGACTCCACAGGAAAGAGTACTATAGTTGGTGAGTTTATGCAGGCCAGAGACTTCTGCAGGCTTATGTCCCAGGCACCAGCGGTCAGGTGATGAGACGAGTGCAAGGTCGAGAGAGAGAGCCAGCTTTCTCAGAACATCCGTTTATATACTGGAGGCAGGCCACACCCCCAAGGAAAGCCCCCTTTCAGCTGATTGGCTGCTCACATCAGATCACAAAATGGAAGGTAGTTACTTTGTGTCTGCCAAACTATGAATCATAGCCTAGCCAAGCTGACACATAGCATTAACCATCACAGAAGGCTTCCTATTCCTCCCGTGATCCACCTGCATTTCCTCTATAGCTGTGCGCCAAGTCAAAGAAAATGACTCGACCTGTCAAGAGGATGGAGAGGCACTGCCACGGCCAGGACTAGGGGGAGACAAGTCAAGCACCCAGGTGTAGAATTTAAGGAGGTGCTCACTCTCAGGGCTGAGCAAGTGCAGAGTTGGCACTGAGAGGGAGTGCTTCCTTAAATTTTGCACTCTGAGTGCTTCACTTGCCTCCCCCTGGCCCGGGTCCCTGGATTCCCAACCAGAGACTCTGAACTCTGTAGTTTACATAAAGGTGTATTGTGCAGAAAGGAACAAAACGTTTTGGACAAAACATCAATGCTGTATCACCAGAAAAGCATCCATAAGGAAGATGTTCTCCTTCGTGGTTGTCGTATAGTACTGTGGCTGTTCACCTGAAAGTCAATTCAGTAGTAGCAACCTACTTCAGAACGAGCCCCCACGCTCCCCGAAAGTGGAGGTTCCCTCAGCTGCTGAAACAAGGCATCTCAGTTAACTGTTAGCTGGTCTTTGCCTTGTAAAAACCATGACCCCAACTGTATGTCCCTTCAGATGGTTCACCCCAATCAACTGATGCTACATTGTGGTAAATGTGCTGGGGTCCTAGGGAAAAGGTGGGGGCAGTCGTGGCTCAGTGGTAGAATTCTCGCCTTCCACGTGGGAGATCTGGGTTTGATTCCTAGCCAGTGCACCTCGTTCACAGCCACCACTCATCCATCTATCAGTGGAGGCTTACTTGTTGCTATGATGCTGAACAGGTTTCAGTAGAGCTTTCAGTTGCAGACAGACTAGGAAGAAGGGACTGGTGATCTTCTGAAAATCAGCCCATGAAAGGCCTGTGGGCCATAATGTGCAATTCTGTTGTGCATGGGGTCACCATGAGTCGGGGGCCGACTCAACAGCACGTCCAACAACAACAGGGAAAGTATAGTTTCTAGAAAAGAACGAGTTTTGGAGACCGATTGCTCTGCGTGTCCTTTCAGAATGTGTAGCTGCTGGAATCTCTTCTTGGTGGGATCACAGACCTTGCCTGGCCACAGGCTGGAGAGGGTTTTGAGCATCCTTGGTCCTTCTGTTTGGCTTCCTGTCAGTGCCGCTCTGTAGCCTGGTTCTCCTCTGGTCCCTTTCAGAACATCTCCTCCAACGTGCTGGAGGAGTCTGCAGTCTCTGATGACACCCTGTCTCCCGACGAAGACGGTGTGTGCTCCGGCCGGTACTTCACCGAGAGCGGCCTAGTGGGCCTCCTGGAGCAAGCCGCCGAGCTCTTCAGCACGGTCAGTGTCCATCTTGGTCTCCTGGGGGCGCCATCACACCGCAGGCGGGTGGCTTTAAAGAGCCAGGAATGTCTTGGCTTGCAGTTCTGGAAGCTGGATGTCCAAATTCAGGACATCAGCTCTAGGGGAAGGTCCTTCCTTGTCATAGCCCCAGGAATTCCTTGGCGTTCCTCAGTGTCTGTCTTCCCCCCGTGTGTGTTTGTGTCTGTTCTGCTTTTTATAACTCAGAAGTGATGAGGTTTAGGGCCCACCCTATGCTGGTATGACCTCATTAACATGGCAGAAGAAAACCCTGTTTCCAAACAGGGGTCATATTTACAAGTGCCCATAAAAAAACTCATTGCCATCAAGTTGATTGCGACTCACAGCGACCCTACAGGACAGAGTACAGCTGCCCCGCAGGGTTTCCAAGGAGTGGCTGGTGGATTTGAACTGCGGACCTTTTGGTTAGCAGTTGAGGTCTCAGGGGTTCGGATTTCAACACGCATTTTGTGGAGATGCAGTTCAATCCATAACAGTGCACAAAGCACCCACCCAGGATGTGACCTCACGTGTTCGGGCTGAACTCTGGTTTCTGTGGTCTTAACCACCTAGTCAGCCACCCTTCATGACGAGAACCTGCCCGGCCGGGCATGGAGGGCGTGGCCTGGGGGGGGACTCTGATGTACACAGATTGCATCATCTCCCTGAGGGAGGCAGAGAGACTTTCATCCTTCTAATGTTCTGGTTTTCACTGCACGCTCCTGGCTGGGCAGGCTTTACAGTATGATTGCCATGTAATGAGGGTGGAAAGCAAGCCACAGAGAGGCGAAATGACGTGCCCAGGGTTATACAATAAACCATGAGATGTACGCGCACTCTCTCATTTTCTGTCTCACGGCAAGAAAGCTTGGAGAGGAGCCCTTGGGGCTGGAGGGAAGGCGTAAGTAGGCAGTGTCTAGCTCAGGGGTGTTACGGCCCAGGACCAGCTCAGAGACATGTGGGCAACCCAAGACCCCCCAACTCATTACTAGCGCTGGGCGTAAACGCTCCTGATGAGAGAAAAGGCAGAGAGGTAAGGCTCTGAGAGTCAGGCTGGGGGAGAAGGAGTCGCTCACTCTTTTTCATTTTAATAATCCCCACCTCCCTTAAATTTTAAACCGAGTTAATATTTAATACAGAACCCTGGTGGTGCAGTGGTTAAGCGCTCAGCTGCTACCTGAAAGGTCAGCAGTTCGAACCCACTCAGCTGCTCCATGGGAGAAAGACCTGGCAATCTGCTCCTGTACAGATTACAGCCTAGAAAACTCCGTAAGGTGTTTCTACTCTGTCACACAGGGTCGCTCTGAGTCGGAATCGACTCAGCGGCGCTTAACAACAACAGCGTGTGATCCTTTACTGAATTTAGCTGATCCACTTTTGGTTTTGTTCTTATATTATGCTTTCTTTTCCATTTTTCATTTCTAAGTTTCTTCCCTCTAATCTCTGTGTATTTAATTTATTGTTTTAGCTATCTTCTCTCTCTCTCTCTTTCTCTTTTTTCCTACTTTTCCTTTCAGGAGTCAGAGAAAGCCCAATATACCCTTGTTTTGCCTGAAATTCAAGAAAATGAACTCCGTGGGATCCTCCCCACTCCTTCCAGGCAAACGCTAAGCACCCGGCTGCAGGAGGCTCCCTGGTGAAATGTCAACACGCTAACCCTGCTTCTCTGAATTGCGTTTAGTCCCTGCTGCCAGTCTCCTTACCTGGTTGGTTTTTTTTTTTTCCATGGAAACCCTCCCCCTATTAACAGCAGGGTACGGGGCCATTTAGCTCGCGCCTTGTTCTGTTTGACCTAAGGCCACCCCAAGACAAGAGTGGGTTCCGACATCAAGCCAGCCCTGTCAAGTCAGTGGTGCCAGCAATAAACCCACTTTTGTGTCCACTGCTTGCATAACAAACTGTGTTTGCACTTCTTACATTTCCAGTGCAATGAATTCTGTTGTTCTTCTTCCTCTTTTTCCAAGGGGGGCTTGTATGAGACGGTTAATGAGGTGTACAAGCTGGTTATCCCCATCCTGGAAGCGCATCGAGACTTCCGGAAGCTGACCTCCACTCACAGCAAGCTGCAGAAGGCCTTTGACAGCATCATAAACAAGGTAGCTGCAGCTCCTCACCAGGACTTCCTGTGACCTGGCGGCAGGCGACCCTGTTCCCAAGATGCCCACCCCGCTTCCTCTCTAGTGAGAGATTTACCTTGAGCACATCATGATATTAAGTGGGCCGTGGTGGTTCCGTGGTAGACTTCTCACCTTCCACACAGGAGACCCCAGTTTGATTCCTGGCCAGTGCACCTCACACGCAGCCACCACTGGTCTGTCAGTGGAGGCTTCCTTGTTGCTATGATGTTGACCAGGTGTCAGTGGAGCTTCTGGACTACAACAGACTAGGAAGAAAGGCCTGGTGATCTACTTCTGGAAATTAGTCAGTGAAAACCCTGTGGAACACAACAGTTTGATCCACAGCCAATCGTGGAGATGTGGCAGGACTGGACAGTGTTTTGTTCCATTATGCATGGGGTGGTCATGAGCCCAGGGCCTACTTGACAACAACAACATCATCATTACAGTGGCTGTTACCCACCAAACAGAGAAGGGCTGAGAGCAGACAGGGGACCAGGATTCAGTGTATGAGGGAAAGAAGCCTGAGTTACCTTATGACCAGGAAATGTGAGAATCACTTTAAATTCACTTAAAAGAAGTCCTAGAAATCATTCATAAGATTTCTCTGCTTATTATTTCCGAAGTCGATTCCATAAACATTATACTGTTTTTAAAGGAATGATCTTTGTTTCTATTAACCATAGGAATAAAATGCTTGGTAACATAGCAAGAAAAGACTCCTGCCCTTTGCAACCCAATGGACCTTATGTAGCTAATGAGAGATTTTCTTATTTTGTTCATCAGGGACATAAGAGAATGTTTGGAACCTACTTCCGAGTTGGTTTCTATGGATCCAAATTTGGGGATTTGGATGAGCAGGAATTTGTGTACAAAGAGCCTGCAATTACGAAGCTTCCCGAAATCTCTCACAGGCTAGAGGTAAGCAAAGTGGCCTGTGCGCTTGACAATGTATATTTCACAATAAACAGGGTAGAGTGGCTCATTAGAGGTTGTCTTACAAAATGCAAGTCATGGCTTCATCACTGGCCTACATGAAAATTTTTCCACACTGCGTTTATAATATGAAGGCATTAGCTGGGGACATGCAGTAAAGCAAGATTTGGATGTCTTTCCCCTAAGATGCTGTATTTGCTTTTCCACATGTTGGTAAATTTGTATTGTGAGTATTTATTTTCCACACTCTCCATCCAAAATTCCATGCATGTCTCGTGCTTTCTTATAACCCTGTCCAAATTTTAGTAAGAGAGTTTGCAGCTTTAAGGTGATCATCTTGATTTTGAAGGAATCCAGCCGAATTACTGAATTACCCCTAGAAAAGCTTGCAGCAAATATTGGTTTGTTGTCACTGCAGGACAGATCCCACTTCTGGCACAGAAGAGATGCTCAACAGTAGTGTATTGTGGGGCTGTGGGGCAGCAATCTCTTCCTGCTGATTCAAGGATGCCGCTATTTGGACACTCAGGGCCAGTGTCCTGTTCATGGGCTGGTGGCCCCAGTTCCAACCTGCCATTCACATTAGATCCCTATTGTCCCAGAATAGAGCAGCATGTTCTTAGAGGAAAGGATGGAAAAGATGGGGAAAAAGAGAAACAGCATGGAGAGCAGTCAGAAGAAGTGAGGGAGAAGTTGAAAGGGCCAAGTTCTAAGAACTCAGAAAGAAAGCTAAAGGGTACCCCAAACAAAACCCACTCAGGCTGCGTGACTGGAGTCCCCTGAGCTGACACCCCCTGCTGTCTTACTACTGCTTTAAATTTATTCTCTTTCACGGCTATAAAACTTAAAACACTTTTATTGTCTAATTGTTCTTGACAGTCTCCATCCATGCCAAGTAAGACAAAGGACTTTTATCCTTACTTGACTGAAAAAAGGAGTCTCTGGGTGGTGCAAATGGTTGATGCACTCAGCTGCTAACTGAAAGGTTGGAGGTTCAAGTCCACCCCGAGGCACCTCAGAAGAAAGTCCTGGCGATCTACTTCTGAAAAGTCAGCCATTGAAAACCCTACGAAGCGTAGGTGTACTCTGAGACACACAGGATCGCCTTGAGCTGGAGTCAACTAGACGGCAACTGGTTAGTCCTAAGTAGGGGAAACAATATTAGGCAGAGAACCAAGAGGCTGGGGTCTATTCCTAGGTCTCCTACTCATGAGCTGAACAACTTTGGGGAAGGCACTCAACCACCCTGGGCTATGACTTCTTTGAGTCTAAAAATCAACAACAACAACAACAAAAAAAAAAAAACAGTGGCCATGGAGTCTATTCCAACTCATGGTGACCCCTTGTGAGTCAGAGTAGAACTGTGCTCCATAGGGTTTTCAATGGCTGATTATTCAGAAGTAGATCACCAGGCCTTTCTTCCAGGGCACCTCTGGTGGACTTGAACCTTCAACCTTTTGTTTAACAGCTAAGTACGTTAACCGTTTGTACCACTCAAGGACTCCTTACACAGGACTAGAGGTATATATTTTGTCTTCTTGTACGCTTGGTTTGCCACATTACGGGAAAGCTGGTGACCTCCAAGTTCCTGCAGTACAAATGGAGAGAAGTCAATAATGCCATCTCGAAAGAGCTGCCTTAGAAATATAGGATGACATTGGTTGAAGTGGAAGCCAAGCCTACGCACTACAAGAAGCGGTGCTAGACTTCCTTCTATTTTTATTTTTGTCTCAGGAAATGCTGAACTTTGCTCATTAGCTCAGGGGGTCTTCCAGGAATCAATCAGCAAATGCTACCTCATGCTCATTCCAAACTGATTCTACTTCTGAGAAGACATTATTAAATGGCTTTAATAAACTGTTGCTTCCTCTTACCCAGGGATTTTATGGGCAGTGTTTCGGTGCGGAATTTGTGGAAGTGATCAAAGACTCGACTCCTGTGGACAAAACCAGGTTGGATCCTAACAAGGTACAGGGATAATTTGCACAAAACGACCATCAGGCTCTGAGCCCCCTTATCCTACCCCATGCACATAAAATGACCCCCTCTATCTGGGCTCCCCAACCAGACATTCTTGTCTAGGGCTCAGCTACTCTTTGGTTAGATCTTAAAGAAAGCATACTCAAAGGCAGGACTCACATGGCACACCAAAGGATATACGCCAGCTGGGAGGCCGGTCCTGCATTGGGCCCTTTGTGTGTATCTTTTCACTTCATCCCCAGCATCCCTTTGAAGTAGGTTTTGTTGTTCCTGTTTTATAGATGAGAAAATCTGTAAGGGTAGGCAGTTTCCCAAGCTCATGCAAGTGGCAGAGCCAGTACTCAAACTCAGGATCTGTTGTCTCCAAACCTAGACCATTCGTCATTCACTACCTCCACTGCCTTTCTATTAAATGGGTAAACTGTCCACTTAAAGCGTGCTGCAGAGATGCAGACCTCTCCCGGACAGTGCTCAGCGGCGCCTTTCTTAGGCTGCAGGCACTCCTTCCAGCCAGGTGAAGTGTCACTGTGCAGTTGCGGGTATGATGGAAAGGGCTTGGGCTTCAGGGTGATGCCGGCCTGCCCAGCCCACCTCCCATGAAAGAGCTTTCTCCACTGCTGGCAACAGAGCAGGTGTAAGGTGTTATTAAGGGGTGGGACAGAGGATCAGTCACCCTCTGGAAGGCTTGTAAAATGCAGGCTCCAAACTCCTCCTTTTCTTCTCTCTCCCAAGATATGATGATGATGTGTAGGGAGTACTGGGCCAGACGGAAGGTTTTGTTTTCTGCACACTTCAGAGCAGTTTCTAACTTTAGATGCATTCCCTAGTCAAGGCTTGAAAGCAGTAGCTGTTGTAGAACGGAGCTAAGCTTCAGACAGAAATGCCCCGGGTCCTTGGAAGACAGGCTTGGCCGTGCATCCTGGTGGTCGGAGCACAGCACCTGCTGCGTAGGATCAGCTGTGACATCGCCTGCACAGGTGGTCTTTTCCCCTCTTTTAAAACGCCCAGGGTAGGTGGTGAGAGCTTTGAATGAGAATCTGGACACTGAATTCTAACCACTGATTCGTGACTTTCGGTCTGAGGCCAGTGACCCCACCCATCCCCTCAGTATTTGGATGTCCCAGAGTCCGTGGCCAGGGCCAATTTTTTTTATGTTTTAAAGAGGGCATTTTCTTTTTTGCTTTTTTTTCATTTTTATTTTGGTGAAAATATGCACAGCAGAAAATACACTCATTCATCAGCTTCTACCTGTTCAGTTTAATGAGATTGGCAATGTTCTTCCCACTGTGTCCCCATCCTCGTCGTCTCTACTCACATTGTCTCACCGCCATCGACCTAGACTCCCTGCTCCTAAACTTCTCATCTCTGCTTTACAGTTACTGTTGACAGTTTGATCTCATAACGAAAACTCCTCAAAAGAGCACGATGCTCGTGGTGAACATTCTTTACTAGTTTAGCCAAACGTTTGTTTAGTTTAAAGATGGCTTCAGGGGATAATTTCGGTTCACAGTTTGAAGATTTTCTCAGAGTGATAAATTCGGGAGTTCCTCCAGTCTCAAGAGATCCAGTAAGTCTGGATTCCGTAAGAATTTGAAATTCTGTTCCATGTATTTTTCCCCTTTAATCAGGATTCATCTACTGATTCTTTGATCAGAACATGCATTATGGTAGCTGGGCACCATCTAGTTCTTCTGGTCTCATGGCTAAGGAGGTAGTCATTCATGGAGGCAGTTAGACCTGCACTCCAGTTTCTTCTCGGACTCCTGGGTCTCCTTTTTCTGCTGCTGCAGGTGAATAGGGACCAATTTTTGTATCTTAGATAAAGAGGACCTTTCATTATATTTTTTTCTTATATTTTTGGAGTCCCTGGGTGGTGCAAATGGTTAACTCACTTGGCTGCTAAATGAAAGGTTGGAAGTTCAAGTCCACCCACAGGCATCTCAAAAGAAAGGCCTGGTGATCTACTACCAAAACATCAGCCATTGAAAACCCTATGGAGCACAGTTCTACTCTGACACATATGGGGTCGCCATGAGTCGGAATCGATTCGATGGCAACTGGTTTCTTTTTCTTATATTTAATACCCTTCTAACACAACAAGAGATTCCCTGATGGAGCAGGAGAAAAGTGGGGTGCAGAACTCAAATTCTAGTAAAAAGACCAGACTTAATGGTTTGATTGAGACTGGAAGGACCCCGGAAGACATGGCTCCTGGACTCTCTGTTAGCCTAAAACTAAAACCATTCCTGAGGCCAAGTCTTCAGACAAAGATTAGACTGGACTATGGGACAGAAATTGATACTTGTGAAGAGTGTGCTTCTTAGCTCAAGTAGATACATGAGACTAAATGGGCAGCTCCCGTCCGGAGGTGAGATGAGAAGGCAGAGAGGGTCAGGAGCTGGTTGAATGGACACGGGAAATCGGGTGGAAAGGAGGAGTGTGCTGTCACAGTATAGGGAGAGCAACTAGGGTCGCGTAACAATGTGTATATACATTTTTGTATGAGAGACTAACTTGAATTGTAAACTTTCACTTAAAGCACGACAATAAAATAAAAAATAAAACAAATATCCTTCTTCACAGGAAATAAAATTCACTCTTTTTAGTACTTAGTTCTAGGAGTTTTGGCAAACACATGTAACCACTGCCACAGTCAAGATATAGAACAGTTCCATCACCCCAAAATATTTCCCTGTGCTCCTTTATAGTCATTCTGTCTCTCTGCCCTCAACCCCTCACAGCCGCTGATGTGTATTCTCTCTGTAGGTTTTCTTTTTCCAGAATGCCATACAAATGCAGCCCTGGTGGCACAGTGGGTAAAAGCTCGGCTGCTAACCAAAAGCTCGGCAGTTCGAATCCACCAGCGGCTCCTTGGAAACCCTATGGGGCAGTTCTACTCTGTCCTGTAGGGTCGCTATGAGTCGGAATCGACAGCAACGAGTGTGGTTTTTTTGGTTCTGTAAATGGAGTCTGGTTTCCTTCACTTAACCTAATGCATTTGAGATCCACCCATGTGTAGTAGCTCATTCCTTTTCATTGCTGAGCAGTACCTCATTGTACGGAGGTGCCACCATTTGTTTATCCATCCCCAGGTGGGGACATTTGGGTTGTTTCTACTTTTTGTCAATTATGAATAAAGCTGCTATAAACATTTGGGTCTGGGTTTTCATGGAAACCTAAATTTTGGTTTCTTTTGGATACGCATGTAGGAATGGGATTGCTGGGTTATGTGGTTAGTGTATGTTTAACTGTGAAACGGACTGCCTGTCTGTTCTGTAATGTGTTTGTACCATTTTGCATTCCCATCGCCCTTGTCAGCACTTGGTATTGTCCATTTTCTTTAGCCCTTCGGATAAGTGTATAGCGTGGACTTGGTCATCCTGAGAAGGAGAGTTTGTCTCTATGGAAAAGCAATGTGCGTGATTCAAAAAACGGAAAACAACAGGTGTTGGTGGGGATGTGGAGAAATAGGAATTGTCCTCCATGGCTGGTGGGGCTGTAAAATGGTACAGCCACGGTGGAAGACAGTCTGGCGGTTCTCAAAGAGTTAAGCATAGAACTACCATATAATCCAGCAGTTCCACGGCTATGCATTTCAAAAGAATTGAAAGCAGGAATGCAAACAGATCCTTGGACACTCATGTTCACTGCACACTTTTCACAATAGCCAAACAGTGGAAACAGCCTAAATGCCCACCAACAGATGAATGGATCAACGAAATGTGGTTCACGCATATGATGAACTATTAGCCCTAAAGAGGAATAGAGTCCTGATACATGCTACAGCATGGATGAACTTGGAGAATATTTTGCTGTGTGCCCAAACACGAAAGGACATATAGTGTATGATCCCATGTATATGAACTATCTAGAACGGGCAAGTGTATAGAGGCCAGAGTTTAGTAGTGGTTACCGTGGGCGGGAGAGAGGGACTCATTGCTTAGGGGACACTGAGCTTCTGTGAAGGGCGATGGTGTAATTGGGGAACAGATAAGGTTCATGGTTGAACAACGTGATGAACATAATGTCACTGAGCGGTCCATGGGAAGATCGTGGAAATGTCAAATGTTCTGTTACACTATATTTACCATAATTTTTAAAAAGTAGAAGCAGTTTGCAGACTGCCGGACTAAACGTTCAGTTGGCTGGGTTAGCTCCGGTGGGCGTCTGGGGCGGCTCGTGGCCTGACCTCACCGGTGCACCTGTCGCGGCTCCTGCCTCCTGGAGGCCCTCCCTGTGGCGGAGGGAGACGGACTGCAGGGTTGGATTCCCACGGCCGCCCTCCGGTGCATCGGGGGGCGCTCTGTGCCTGGAGAAGAACTCATCTCCTCCTTGTCGTCCCTCTCCCCCTCAGGCCTACATCCAGATCACCTTCGTGGAGCCCTACTTTGATGAGTATGAGATGAAAGACAGGGTGACCTACTTCGAGAAGAGCTTCAACCTGCGGCGGTTCATGTACACGACGCCCTTCACGCTGGAGGGGCGCCCCCGGGGGGAGCTGCAGGAGCAGCACCAGCGCAACACGGTGCTCACCACCATGCACGCCTTCCCCTACATCAAGACCCGTGTCACCGTCATCCAGAAGGAGGAGGTAATGGCGCGGGGGGACCTGGAGCCGCCGCTGAGCGAGCGGACAGGGCCACTCCCCAGGATGACCGCAAACCTGAGGGCTTCTTCCCGGCGGCCTGGAGTGGAAATACCGAAATGTTATGATGATGGCTACCTTCTCACTCCTGTGGTGCCAGGAGTCCCATTTAAAACCAGAAACTTGCTGCTGTCCAGTCGATTCTGACTCATAGCGACCTCATGTGATGGAGCGGAACTGCCCCATAGAGTTTCCTAGGCCGTAATCTTTACAGAAGCAGATAGCCAGGCCTTTCTTCCTCAGTGCTGCTGGGTGGGTTTGAACTGCCAACCTTTCAGCTAGTAGCCAAGAGCAACCTGTTTGCACCACTCAGGGAGCTGAAATCCCATTCAGGCAGCTGCATATTCTATAGCATGGTTGTATATTTAAATATATGTTAAACAGATATGCTTAATATAAATACATAATTGTAATACATAATATAGGATATTTATACATTTAATTGGGGTCCCTGGGTGGTACAAACAATTAACACACTTAGCTGCTAATCAAAAGGTTAGAAGTTTGAGTCCATCCAGAGGCACTTCAGAAGAAAGGCCTGGCAATCTCTATTTGAAAAATCAGCCATTAAAAACCCTATGGAGCAAAGTTCTACTCTGACACGTAGGGTCACTCAACGGCAGCTTTTTTTTTTTTTTTAATGGTATATATTTAATGATAAGCTTATATAAATTTTATATATTTAAATTTTAGATATTTTCTATAAAATTTGTATGTATTTAGCAGTGTCCAGGTGATTGAAGCATTGCTGTATTGTTAATTATTAAGGACAAGAGCAGCAAGTGAGCGGTCCCCGGGGACACCGGTGTGCTGTAGGAAGGGCCCTAGGCAAGACGGCCAAGGATCCTGGCTGCTTTTACTCCCAGCCCCATCCTGTGGCCCTGTATAAGCCACTTGTCTCTTCAGTTTCCTCATCTGTATGTTGACAGGAAGGGGCCCTGTTGTTTCTCTGATTTTTTTGTACAGTAGAGGACTTCTCAGCCACTGTCACAGGACTGATTAAGAAGGTCTCTCAAACCACAGAATCATTCAAAATTACACAGACCGCAAAGATTTTATTTTACATTAAAACACATCCAGTTAACCCGTTGCCCTCAAGTGGACTACGAATCATGGCACCCCCATATGGTCAGAGTAGAACTGTGTCTTGTCTAGGGCTGCTATAATAGAAATACCACAAGTGGATGGCTTTAACAAAGAGAAATTTATTCTCTCACAGTCTAGGAAGCTAGAAGTCCAGGGCGCTAGCTCCAGGGGAAGGCTTTCTCTCTGTTGTTTCTAGGGGAAGGTCATTGTCATGAGTCTTCCCCTGGTCTAGGAGTTTCTCAGCACAGGGACCCCAGGTCCAAAGAACTTGCTCCACTCCGGGCTCTTTTTTCTTGATAGTAGGAGGTCCTCTCCTCTCTGCTCTCTTCTTTTATATCTCAAAAGAGATTGACTCAAGATACAATCTAATCCTCTAGACTGAGTCGTGCCTCGTTAACATAACCGCCTCTAATTGTGTGTCATTGCCATCATAGAGGTTAGGATTGGCAACGTATAGGAAAATTACATCAGATCACAAAATGGAGGACAGCCACACAATACTAGGAATCATGGCCTAGGCAAGTTGACACATATTTTGGGGGGACACAATTCAATCCATGACAAACTGTCACTGATTTTTTGAAAGTAGATCACCAGGCCTTTGTTTCGAGGCACCTCTGGGTAGACTCGAACCTCCAAACTTTCAGTTGGTAGCTGAGCACATTAACTATTTGCACCTCCAGGGACTCCTAAAACCCGTCCATGTGCACTTATTTGTCATTGTTTTTTATACAGGGCCACAGCCTTCTGTGTGATTCTGGTCCGCTGGTCACAGTTCAGCGTTGTGTGTCTTGTATAAAGCACACTCCTGATGCCCTGTGTATGATTTTCAGTTTTGGTTTCTGTAAAGCAGAGTGAGAGCTTCAAGGTACTTGCTAAACAGTATAAGAGCAGAATCTTCCTAGATGTTAATGATTTTCTTCCTAGCCTTTTGCGCTTGTCTTACTCATACCTAATGTAACAGGAATCTTTATAACGTCCTGCCCAGACATCACACTTGGTTTTCATAGAACCGAGTCTTTTTCTTCCCACACCGCACGGTCCATCAGATGACACGTGATTTAATTAGACTGGGTCATTAACATAACAAGTGCAACTGGCATGATCAGGTTGGTGAACAAACGTGGATGGGTCTTGGGGAATCTGCATCCCGTCGGGGAGGAGCAGAAGTGACAGAGCTTATGGAGGAGAACCCACCAGCTGAGGGTTCAGCAGCCAGCAGCCTCAAAGGGTGGCTCTCAGAGGGGATAAAGGAGGCCCGAGCCAGGAAGTCAGATACAAGGAGGTTGGTGAGGAAGGCATCTGCTGCATCTCTTGTTTCGGACTTTTAACACTTGGACTTTCTACGCATAGCACAGAAATAAACCCATGGTCCCAAAACGTATCTGCACGACTTTTCTGGGCTGTCTGTTATTCTCCCAGGACTTCAGGAAGGACTCTACCCCAAACCAGCAGGTCTTAGAACTAGCAGACGGACCCTTCAGAGCACTGTGTTTACTAGGCGTTCACCTCCAGGTTGCATTGGTGGCGACACCAGGATGCCTGCCGCCAGCTGTGTTATGGGAGGGAACTGAGCACTGTGCCTCTCATAGCTCCCCCACATGCGAGTCTGTTAGCTTCTTCAAAATAGAAGGAAACTTCGCTACCAGGTTAGAAAGAGTATGGTTTTAAGTTTAGACAGAAACGTGATCAAATTCTGGCCTCCCACTTTTTAACTGTGTCATTTTTTGCAACTTACTTGTTGTTCGCTGCCATCCATTCAGCCCCCGATTCGTGGCGACCCCATGTATTACAGAGTACAACTATTCCATAGGGTTTTCGTGGTTGTAATCTTTATGGAGGAGCCCTGATGGCACAGTGGTTAAGAGCTACAGCTGCTAACCAAATGGTCCACAGTTCGAATCCACCAGCTGCTCCTTGGAAACACTATGGGGCAGGGGCGGTTCTACCCTGTCTTATAGGGTCGCTATGAGTCAGAATTGACTCGACAGCAACAGGATTGGTCTTTCTTTTTTTTTTTTTTTTTTGTTTAATTACAGAAGGAGCTTGCCAGGCCTTTTCTTCTGTGGAGCTGCTGGGTGGGTTTGAACTGCCAACCATTGGGTTAGTAACCTCGCACCACCCAGGCTCCTTGGAACTAACTTAGCCTGACAGATTCCCCTTTAACTGTAGAGGGGAGAATCATGAGGTTATTTAAAGGAGTAAGTGATAGCTGTGTGTGTAGTTCCTGGAATCTAATAAGTACTTAGGAATTGCTAGGCCCTTCCTTCCCTTTAACCTCCTCTGACTATTTTAAATTACTCTGAAAGTCTTTCCTCAGCTGCTTTCTCAGCTGGTGCCGTCCATGTCATAGCTCCAGATGTGGCCGTGGCTTATGAGATAGGATCATGACTTCCCGATATTTGTGTTTTATGTTCAGTTTGTGTTGACACCAATTGAGGTTGCCATTGAAGATATGAAGAAGAAGACCCTCCAGTTAGCGGTTGCCATTAACCAGGAGCCCCCCGACCCAAAGATGCTGCAGATGGTGCTCCAAGGCTCCGTGGGAGCAACTGTAAACCAGGTATGGAAAGTCAGCTGGTGGCAGCTCCACTGGCCTGCATTGTTTTAGTCATCAGTGAATTTCTACACCCTCCTTCCTTGGGGTTGGCGAGGAGTCCAATCCACGTGCATACGATGTTCCTACACTTAGATTGAACACGTGTTAGATTTAAAAGATTTGTAGCAGCCCCTTCTCCTTCGTAACAACTCAAGGCAGAATAGAAATCCTAGAGATAAATGGACCAGGTCTCAGGGGCTCCTCTTCCCCAAGGAGTCTCCATGTTGGGACCAGACTTGGCAATAGGATGTAGATCTGGGGTCCTGCTAGGGAGTGATTATCCATGCCCAGTGGAGACAGAGGGATTGCAGAGCTTGAGAATAACCTAAGAGTGCCTGCAGGAGAGAATGGTCTAAAAGAAAGAGTTGAGAACACCCAACCGCTAGGTCACTTCCAGATGATCCCAGCATGCCAGGGATTGCTCAGCAGGAGAGGTCAACCAGGTGGCCTCAGCTGACCAGGCTTCTTGTGCCGCTTTAGACCAGGCTGGTCTTCTCAGACCCAGAATCCTGACTCCCGAGTTCAGTAGGAAACAAAACCAGTCTTGGGTGGCTGGAGGAACTAGCCTCGTAGTCTGCCCAGGGGGCCTCCTTGGTTTCATTTCCAGGCCACCTCTTGTCCACAAATCCCCACTCGAAATTTAAATGAGCCTTGTGACTCCTTGCTTGCTCAGCACAACTGGATTTCCTCTCAAGAATTCTGAGCCCACTTAACATCAAGGAAGCAGAAGTAGCAAAGGGGAAATGACTATTTCCCAAATCAGAAGAAAGTAGGAAGGTCTTGCCTTTAAAATCCCAATCCTTTGATAAAAATAGAAGACGCGGTAAGCCCACAGCCTTGGACTACTTACACACTGACGCTCTCTCTGTCTTACGTCAGGAATTACGCGAATATGGTGTTCTTCAGTAGGGCAACTAGACAGGCAAATATGAATGGATGGATCAAGGCAATCCCCACTTCAGAAAAGCCACTCAGAGCACATACCTTTTGATGCAGTTGTATTACCTTTATATGTGAAGGAAAGCCTATTATGAGTCGTGTTTAATTGAGAAAATACGTTTTTACTTCTCGGTATTCCCCTAAAACTCCAGGCTCCTCCTAAGGATTCACAGCTCCCAGAGAAAGTCAAGACCTTCCTCGATTTCCTGTTTTGTTCAAACCAGCTGCAGAATTGCCTGTTCAAACGAAGAAGTCCTGCCAACATTTTCCCCCAGCTGATCTAACGTCCCTGCTAATATCAGCGTGGTTTTTTTATTTTCCCGTCAGGGACCGCTGGAAGTGGCCCAAGTGTTCCTGGCCGAAATTCCAGCTGACCCGAAACTCTATCGACACCACAACAAGCTGAGGTTGTGCTTCAAGGAGTTCATCACGCGGTAAGAAGGGACGTGACCGGGTGTTCAGAACAGCCGTGGTTCCCAAAGAGTGGCCTCAGACCAGTGGCTTCAGCACCACCTAGGAGCAAACTAGTTGTAGGTGACTTGACGCCGACTCGTGGCGACCACACGTGTCAGAGTCGAACTGTGCTCCGTAGGGTTTTCAATGGCTGGTTGATTGCCAGGCCTTTCTTTCCAGGCACCTCTGGGTGGACTTAAACCTCCAACCTTTTGGATAGCAGCTGAGCATGTTTTAACATTTTGTACCACCCAGGGACTCCAAGAACTTGTTAGAGAAGCAGATTCTCAGGCACCACTCTGACCTACTGAGTCAGCAACCTGGGGGGCAGGGCCCAGTAACCTGTGTTTTACAAGCCCTCCAGGTGGTTCTGAGGCGCCCAAAGTTTGAGAAGCAGGGCAGTAGAGCCACACTACTTGTACTGCTAATAAGTAACGACACTTAAACTGCAAAATGCTGTCGTGTTTATCACCTCTCTTGTGCCTCCGGAAGGAGCCCCCGTGGCGCAGTGGTTAAACACCCAGCTGCTAACTGTTGTACACTCTCCTGTGTCTGATCTGCCCTTTTTATAACTCAGGAGCCAGTAGGTTTATGGTCTCATTAACATAACAGAGAAAACCTGATTCCCAAATGGGATCCATCCACAGGTATAGGGGTTAGGATTCCCACACATATTTTGAGGGGTGAGGAGGACATAATTCGGTCCTGTAACATTGGTTTCGGGTGAGCTTAGGGACATCTCTTCCTTGACATCTTTGGTGAGAGGTATGCAGTGGGGCTGTGTATCGGGGAGACACACTTTGCCCCGTAGGGAATCACAGCTGCCCGGTGGTTGTATAGGTGTGTGTGTCTCTGTGTGTCTGCCTGTGTGTGTGTGTGTATACCCAGATAAACGCACATACACACACAGAGATTATATTTACTCCTGTGCGGATGGTTGACTGATTTCCTCTATTAGATAGCAATTCTGACATCACACCGAAGCTAGGTTTTCTTTGATAAGTAGTAACATTTGCACTGAACAGAGGGTTGAAAATATTTGGGGGGATTTTTTTAGACCTATTTACTTTTTCACATGTCTTCATTTAAAATTAATTATGCTCAAAGGCTCCCGAAGTTGGCAGTGGCCTGGCCTCTCTGGCCTCCAAGGGGACCTGTGAGAGGTCTCCTGATCTCTGTCACCCAGGCACGACAGTAGTTATCGGACTGCAAAGAGCCTTCTCTTGACAATGGGACAGATATAAAACGCAACACCAAACCCGTTGCCATCAAGTCAGTTCCAACTCACGGCGACCCCACGTGAGTCAGAGGAAAACTGCTCCATAGGTTTTTCAGTGGCTGATTTTTTCAGAAGTAGTTCACCAGGCCTTTCTTCCAAGTCACCTCTGGGTGGACTCGAACCTCCAACCTTTGGGTTAGCAGCTGAGCACATGCCCCGTTTGCAACCCCAGGAACTCCATGGTTCACTTACATTCCACTTTATTTCACATAAATCACAAGTCCTGGGTGAGATGGTGGTGAAGGTTGCACACCTGCATAAATTTATTAAAACTCAGCAAACTTTACCTTAAAAAGGGTGGATTTTATGGCATGAAAACAGGTGGTGAGTGAGGAAAGCTTCCCTCCCCCGCTGCTGCATCGCTTCTCAGGTTCAATCACCACCTTTTTCTTTCTCCCTCTCCCTTTTTTAAAAAAAAGTAACTTATTTTTGATATTGCTGTTGAGCGTACACCAGTTCGACCATTTCTACACGTAGAATTCGGTGGCGTTGATGACGTTTTCATGTTGTGTGACCTTCTCGCCCTCCTGCCCTTGCAGCTTTTTAATGAAAAGCGGCTGGTCGGTCAAGTTGTTTCCTTTTTCCTCCCACCCTGCTGTCAGACAGCAGAGCTGGCCAGCGTTTGGGGTGAGGAGCTGTCAGCCTCTCCCTTTAGCGACCTCTGGCTTCGCAGTCCACTTGGACTGCAGGTCAATGAGCCCATTGCTAAGGGGACAGGATTGAGCCTTCTGTTGGTGACGGCTAATAGCGGAAATGCACGCTTGCCCGGGACACGGCGGCCAGGGTTCCGCACAGGCAGCGCCTTCCTGACTCAGCTGCAGCGGACCCCAGTACGGCCCTAAAGAACCTGGCGCAGCCAGCCCTGCGGCTCTCAGGAGCTCACCAAGTTGGCACCTCAGCCCCGCCTTCCTTTTCCTGCGATAAGAAGAAAACCTCAGGGTTTCGGAAGCCGAGGTGGGGAGGTACGAGGCCGTTTCCCTCCCCTGCAGCCCGAAGCACCCGCTGTCCGTGTCTACATTTCCTTTGTCTTCTCCGAGCGATCCTGTTTCTGTAAAGGATGCGTGATTGGAAAGTTCACTTTCCTATTTAAATAGAAGGTAGGAGGGCTCGAGGGCACCCGTTCAGGTCCCCTTGCAGGGAGGTAGCTTCAGATACTCCCAGGTGGGGCTCTGCTGCGTCCATGGCCGTGGACTCGGAACACAGGGTGTCCACGTGTGGCGGTCATTAGCTGGAGTTGGGGTCTGGGAAGAGGAAGGAGAGGGGACTTGCCCAAGTGGCCAAAGGAAAGACAAACGTGTGTCGCCTTAGAGAACAGTCTGTGGGAAGAGGTCTGAGAACGTAGCCTGCCTAGGCCTTCAGTGTCAGGAGCGGCTGCTCAGGGCCAACTCAGCAGTGGGACATGTGACCTGTGTCATTTGGCCAGGGTCACAGAGGCCTGGATTAGTGGGCCAAGGATGCCAGGCAGAAAACTGAGCACCAGATAGAGCGTGTGTGGGTATGTGTGTGTACTGTGTGTGTGTGGATGTGGTACGTGTGGATGCGGGGGGGTGTGCAGTGTATATGTGTTATGTGTGTGGTGTGTGCCTAGTACGTATGTATGTAGTGTGTGTGTGGTGTACACGTGGTGTATGTGTGTGTAGTATATGTATGTGTGCATGGTGTGTATGTGGTGTATGTGGTATGTGTATGTGTTACGTGTGTGTGGTACAAGTGTGTGTGGTCTGTGGCGCGCTCTTTGCCAATGCCGTGATTCAAATGTGTCAGTTTGTTTTCAGTCTTCCTTATTCATTGTCCAGCTCTCGCGTGCATGTGAGGCGCTTGAAAACCCCATGGCTTGGGTCAGGCGCGCCTTAGTCCTCACAGTGCCATGTTTTCTCTTTAACACTCTGAAGAGGTCTTTTGCAGCAGATTTGCCCAATGCAGTGCCTCGTTTGATTTCCTAACTGCTGCTTCCGTGGACGCGATCGTGGATCCGAGTAAAATAAAATCCTTGACAGCTTCAGTGTTTTCTCCGTTTATCATGATGTTGCTTATTAGTCCAGTTGTGAGGATTTATGAGTATACATACATATACCCATACACACACAACACCACACACATACACCACACATCCACACTGCACACACATCATATGTACACATACCCCTACGCACCACAGACCACACACACTTGTACCACACACACATAACACATACACATACCACATACACCACATACACACCATGCACACATACATATACTACACACACATACTCACACCACGTGTACACCACACACACACTACATACATACGTACTAGGCACACACCACACACATAACACATATACACTGCACACACCCCCGCATCCACACGTACCACATCCACACGACACACATCCCCCACATACCTACGTACCACATCCACACTGCACACACGCCCACACACTCCCACATCCACATGCACACACTGTACACACACACCACACAGACATACGGATAACACATCCCCGCTACACGCACATGCAGACACACTGTACACACACACACACACACACACGGATACCACACGCAGACACACTGGGCCCTTCCTTCCTCCCCAGCCCACCTGCATTAAAAAACCCACTTCCGTTGCAGTGCCTGTCCTCTCCTGCCATGCCCTGCCCCCACCCTCTTGGTCGGATCTTGGTCCTCACAGCGCGTCAGTGCTCTCTTGCTTCGGGAAAGGGGGTACCATGCAGGGAGGGGCTGGGACTGGGACTGAAATAACCAACCAGTTGCTGTCAAGTCAGCTCTGACTCATGGCAATCCCATATGTCAGAAACACCAGAGGTGTCTCGGAAGAAATGCCTGGCAATCTACTTCCTAAAAAATTAGCCACTGAAAACCCTGTGTAGCTCGGTTGTACTCTGACACTCATGGGGTTGCTATGAGTCGGAGTCAACTTGACAACAACTGGTTTAATGTCAAACTTAAAAGATAGGTGAGAATCTCGCTAAGTGAGTCCTTTTGGCTTCTGGGTGAGTTAAGTCAAGTCCTTTAACTATAGCAGGTTAATTCCATGAAGAAGATTAATTTCATGATGAGCTGAGGCCAGAGGTTTAATTTTTCATTGGCCAGGTACCTTTCCCCTGCCCCATAGCCACAAGTTCTTCTTTGCTGAAAAAGTGTTCAGTGGTAATAGGATTTGGTAACAAGGCCTGGAATCTCCATAACTTAACCCAAATCAAGCACCAGGAAGACAGTTCAAACCACAGTGATCACCAGAATCTTATAGTCTGACAGACTATAAGATAGAATTATTACTTACTGCACATCAGCTAAACTTCAGCCATTTTATTGCCCCCTTTAAGATTTGTTGGCTTGTAAGTTCCCTTGGGTAGAAGAGTGTAAAATAAAAGGCAAGACTTTATTATCTTCTAAGAATATGATTCTCTTCTTGGAGATTTACCGTACTGAGTGGAAGCCTATGAAAATATTAGGTCTCAGGGTCCACAAACCACATAACCATAATGAGCTTTAAAGATTGTCTGTTTGTCTTTTACCCTTTCAAGACCCAATTTTTTCTGCTTTGAAATTTGTGTTGATACCATGTGTTTTCATTAATGGAAGCATGCTGAATCATTGAGTGTTGTTGAATTTTTGGTAGGTGGTATGGATTTCTTTTTTTTTTTTGGTCTCCCACCAACAATCCTACCGTCCAAGTTCGGAGGGACACACCCTGTCCCACTAATTCTATCCCCCTGACGACCCCTAGAGTTCAGAGGGCCATGCAGTGTCCCAAAGAAAAATTTTCAAAATTTCAGTTTCCTACCAAAAATGCACACACTTCATACAACACCCTGAAGAGACAGTAATTTGTGGCACATGCCCATTTTGTTGGTTTCAAACAATCATAAAGGCCGCTGCCTTGTGACAGCATGTACTGCAGGTGAGAAAGCAGCTTCCCAAAGAACCTGAGAGGTGGAAAAAGTGGGTGGGCAGCGGTGTATCCGAGCTGTCGTGAGTTTCACCAGGATGGGGCTGGGTCTAGATCTGTTTTTGTTGACCCTTCAATGAGAGGGTGCATGTCTGTTTTCAGCCCTGGAAAATTATCAGCCATCGTCTCTGTGAATATTGCCTCCCTCTCATTTTCCATTGCCTTGTATTAGATGTGGGTTGAGCATCTTCATTATATCTCCATGCCTCTTGACCATTTTTTCATATTTTTAATATCTTTCTGTCTTTGGTGATTTGCTCAGATTTGTCTGCTAGTTTGTAAGTTCTCCGGTTGTGTCTGGTCTATTGTTCAACCTGCACATTGAGGATTTTCTTTTTATTTTAGTGACTGATGTTGATGTTGTTGTGTGCCGTCGAGTCGATTCCAACTCATAGCAACCCTATAGGACATAATAGAACTGCCCCGTAGGGTTTCCAGGGAGTGCCTGGTGGATTCGAACTGCCAGCCTTTTGGTTAGCAGCCAAGCTCTTAAGCACTATGGCACCAGGGCTCCTACTCAAGAGTAGAAAATATCATTATCTTCAAAGTTCTAAGCATTTCAAACTCATTTGAAATGGATCTGTGTTTCCCCCGCACCCTGATATCGTTGACTCAGATGTGGTGAGGCTGTCGAGAAAAACAAGCGGCTCATCGCTTCAGACCAGAGGGAGTATCAGCATGAACTCAAAAAGAACTACAGCAAGCTGAAGGAGAACCTCAGGCCCATGTTGGAGCGGAAAATCCCAGAGCTCTACAAGCCCGTGTTCCGAGTGGAGGGTCAAGCGAGGTAAGAGCAGGGCAGAGGAGGTGTCTTCCTGGGGACTGAGAGAGAGAGCGCTGGGGGCCCCCAAATCAGGGGACACTCGGCCGCACTCTGTCAGCTGCAGACCCGCCAGGTGGGAGTGGGTACCTGGCATCAGACCTGCTGCCAGAGTGTGATCCCTTCTGCCTGCACCCGGCACCTCCCCCGACCGCTGGGGACCCCTGCACGTTGGCCCCCTGCCAGTGGTCTCCCCAGAGCAGATGACCGCCTGTGTTGTTCCTGGCACCCCTGAGGGCGTCCCAGCCCCTTCCCTTGTTTACTTGTTTGCCACATCCTCTGTGACTGATGTCTGCTCCTGTGGGGGGTTTTCCCACTCTCCTTCTCTTTAAAAAGGCTCATTGATCCACCTCACCTCTGCTTTTGTTTTTGTTTTCTCCGTCTCTCTCCTTCGTTTCAGAGACTCCTTCCACAGATCCAGTTTCAGGAAATGTGAGACCCAGTCGTCCCAGGACAGCTAAGAAGAGCCGTCTTCACCCGGAGGCACGGTAGCCCCGGAGAGGGCTCCCAGCACTTACGATGGGGCATTTCCACCCAGGACAGACCACATGCTCCCTGCCCAAGTCTGGAAGCTTCGGGGGCTACAGGACCACAGAAATCACACCCAATGGACTTTGACCCCAAGTGGGCCGTAGTTTGCCTGTGTATTTATTAAAGCATGTTTTCACAAGGTTGTACAAACGCTGGCTCGTCCTCCTAAGGCATCACTCACCGTCTACAAAGCAAGGTGATTTGCTCCGACTTGGATCGGGACTTACCAGATAAACTCAAATCGCCTAAGCAAACATGGAAAATCTGCCCACCAGCCTATTCAAAATGAACTTCACTCATTCATTGGTTGGACGGTTACACGTTTGGGGGTAGATTCGTTATATTTGTGAGTTTCTTACCGTTTCGGTAATGGTGGACTAATTGTTGTATAGTTATTTCTGCTTTATTGTTATGTTAAGTTAAATGAACATGTTTTTCTAGAGGAGTACACTCGGAACGTTGATTTCAGAGACACGTGGTACTCTGAGCAGTCAGCCAAAACTTGCAGATGTTGCGATCGATTCAGTTGAAACAGCTCTCCAGCGCTTTGCGTCTTTTCTTTTAATGCTCTGGTTCTTGCTCATTCTCGCTTCCCCGCGCCGCCTCTGGGACCCAGTTTATTCTATGAAAGGATAATATCTCTGCTTTCATTGCAGAACACTGTGGCCGTGGATCAGCCTCTGTACAGAATGATACCCAGCTTTGCACTCTTTTTTGACAACGTATTTTGGGAACCAGATGAACAGAGTTTTTATTTGAGAATTATATGTTTTTAATATGACCGATTATCTTGACTGATACTAAAAATGTAATAAGAATTGCAAGCAAAATGTTTCCCCTTGTGATGCATGTTTTTTTACATTTTTTTTTATTTTGAGAACTCGTAACTTTTTTTTTAAATCACTTTAGAGAAGAAATAGGCACAATCGTGGCGTTGGTCAAAGCTTGCCTTCCGGAGCTGCTCCTCTCGTTCAGTACTGAATCTCTGTGGTCACGAGGGAGAAGGTGGTGTGGATATTCCGGAACTTTTTTTGTTTATCTCATCAGGTATGTTTTTTAAAAATAACCAAAGCTTACTAGTTTAAGTGCCAGACTTGTTTTTCTTTTAGTCGTTGGGCACAGAACCTTCTCTAAAGTGCATTATACATGTAATTGCTTTCTTAAATGAGTAGACAGAACATCATTTTATTCCACACGTGTTTGCATGTGTATTTAGCACCTTCTGTGTGGGAAATAACTGTGGGAGCCACGTGGTCCTAAAACGTTGTGGCTGCCCGCCAGCGCCGCTCAGTTTATGTGTGTGTATGTCCATGACACAAAACAGACCAGAGCAGAGCCTATAGAATGTAACCTTTTCTGAGGGACTCAGGGATGGCCATCATTGTCCACACCTATTATATTCTGCTCTGAAACAGTAAGGGGCTCTAAGTTATATAGGAAGCCCCTGGGTGGCACAAACGATTAAGTGCTCAGCTGCTAACTGAAAAGTTAGTGTTTTGAGTCCACCCAGAGGTGCCTTGGAAGAAAGCCCTGGCAATCTCCTTCCAAAAAACCAGCCATTGAAAACCCTGTGGAGCATAATTCTACTCTGACCCACGTGGGGTCGCCATGAGTCAATCGATGATGGCAAATGAGGTTGTTTGGTTTTTTAAGTTATATAGGGCTGGCTATTAACCCTGATAATCCTAATAACCTAAGATATTCCTGATTAAATATCCCCTGCGTTGAGATCCCTGGTGGTACTGTTTTCGTTTTTGTATTATTTTGTTGTCGTCTTTCTTGTACCACGGTGGGTGCCGCCTGCTTCATGAGTGAGGAATTGTGTTCATTGCTGTGTTTCTGCCTCTTAGCCCAGCGCTCAACACACAGAAAACCCATTGCCATCAAGTCGATTCCAACTCATAGTGACCCTACAGAACATAGTAGAACTACCCCATAGGGTTTCCAAGGAGCGGCTGGTGGATTCGAACTGCCAACCTATGGGTTAGCAGCTGGGCTCTTAACCACTGTGCCACTAGGGCTCCCAACACACAGATGACACTCAATAAATACCTGTTGAACAAGCAAATGAATGAATGAAGTGTAAATAAATGAAGCGTGCATCTGCCTGCTTCTACAACAGCACCGTTCAATAGAAAGCAAATGCGAGCCACATACGCAGCTTGAAATTTTCTAGTACAAAAAAAGTAGTAAAAAGAAACAGGTGAAATTACTTTTAATAATATATTTTATTTAACCCAATATATATATATACTCTTATTTCCACATGTAATCGACATAAAAATTATTAATGAGACATTTTACATTCTATTTTTCATACTAAGTCTTCGAAATTGGGTATGTTACACTTACACAGCACATCTCCATTGGAACTGGCCACATTTCAAGTGCTCAGTAGCCACATGTGGCTAGGGTCTACCATATTGGATAATGCAGTTCTAGAACGTTCCAGATTTTCTGACTCGGTGCCTCTGATCTGTGGGCTCAGACTATAGATAACCAAAGTAGGGGGAATGGTGTCTAAATAAAGCAAGAATGACAGGGTCTGAGTGAGAGCCCACGGGCTTGCCTAGGAAGGAAGCTTGTGGCGTTGGGGAGTATGGACTTGTCAGTACCGACTTGAGCTGCTCATGCATTCTCTGCGATAACACTCCACCCGCCCCACCCCCGCTCTTTTCTCAATTCCACATAGTTTAGTTGTCCTTTAAGCATCTGTCGCCCAGCAGTCAATTCCAACTCATGTCAACTCCATGTGACAGAGTAGAACTACTCCAGAGGGTTTTCTCAGCTGTAATCTTTACGGAAGCAGATCCAGGTCTTTCTTCCACGGCGCCACTGGATGGGTTCCAATTGCCAGCCTTTAGGTTAATAGTCCAGGGTGCAAACCATTTGCCCCCACCCCCAGCACCTGTCCTTTAAGTACCGGTTAAAGTGGGGGCATTGCTACACTTATGTAAATAATGAGATAAGCCAAGATCTTGGGCATTGGGCATCTGATTTTGTATTCCAAATATGAGGTGAGGAAGAAAGCATTTTACACAAGATTGGCAGTTCAAATCCACCAGCCGCTCCTTTGAAACCCTATGGGGCAGTTCCACTCTGTCCTACAGGGTCGGTATGAGTCAGAACCGATTTGAGGTTACCTAACGACAAAGGGTAAATCAAATGAAGGCTTTTGTCTCCTGAAAATCACAGCAGCTTGATAGGCTGCCACAGTCATCTGGACTCGACTTTGGAAACCCCCTTCTACAACAGCTTATAGAAGGGACCCTTCCGATCAGCTCCATGACTCACCTTCAGCAAGCCACAACTGCGGCTGTCCTGCCTCCTCAGAATCACAGGAAAATGAAGCGTGACTGTGCTGCACACACCTGACTAGGTTTGCTGTGCACACGCCTGAAATGCCATCATTCTCTTCTGTAAGGGATGCTTCCTATGACAATTGATTTATTTTTAAAAGGAAAGAAGAAAAAACCTTTTAGAAAAGTCATTGGTAATTGTGACTGCAAATATGTTTTCAAAGACAGGGAGCCTTTGCTTTGCTTTGAATGTAATTTTAAATGCTTTTTATCCCAGGTTTTGTAAAGCTACCACTGATTAAGTACCATTTTGTAAAAAAAAAAAAAAAAAACCTAAAGGTTCTAGTACATTCCGAGAATGCTGGGCAAGTCTGCAAGCGTCGTGTGTCTTCTTTCTTGGGCTTAAGGCAGTGCTTCCCAATCTTTTTCACATCATGGGTGTAAGATGTATCTATTGCTGCATAACAAATTACCCCAAAACTCAGCATTTTAAAACAGCGGTAACCATTTGGTATCACCCGGTTTCCTAGCTGGGTGGTCAGGCTTGAGGGCTGTGTCAGTCATCTAGTGCTGCTATACCAGAAATACCACAAGTGGATGGCTTTATAAACAGAAATTTATTCTCTCACAGTCTAGGAGGCTAGAAGTCCAAATTCAGGGCACCAGCTCCAGGGGAAGGCTTTCTGTCTCTGTCAGCTCTGGGGAAGGTCCTTGTCATCAATCTTCCCCTGGATTAGTAGCTTCTCAGCTCAGGGACCCCGGGTCCAAGGGACACACTCTGCTCCTGGCACTACTTTCTTGGTGATATGAGGTCCCCCCTGTCTTTCTGCTCGCTTCTCTCTTTTATATCTCAAAAGAGATTGGCTTAAGACACAACCTAATCTTGTAGATTGAGTCCTGCCTCATTAACATAACTGCCACTAATCCTAAATAGAGGTAGGATGTACAACACATCAGATGACAGAATGATGGACAATCACACAATATTGGGAATCATGGCCTAGCCAAGTTGACATACATTTTGGGGGGACACAATGCAATCCATAACAAGCTATTTTATGAGGCTGCAGACAAGGTGCTGGGCAGAGCTGCAGCTGTCTGAAGACATGACTGGGGCTGGAGGATCTTGGAATCGGGTGGTTCATTTATATGGTTGGAAGGTTGATGCGGGCCTTTGATGGGAGAACTCAGTTCCTCTTCATGTGGGCATCTCCCCAGACTGCTTGAGTTCCCTCAAGGGGAGGCAGCTGACCTCGCCTAGGAAGAGTGAGCCAGAGAAGCAAGGCAGAAGTGGCAGCATCTGTCCTGACCTAGCCTCAGAGTTCGTACGCTCCCATGTCCACCATATTCTGTTTTGTAGAAGCGAGTCACCTCGTCCAGCCCAGGTTGTAGGGGAGTGGAATTAGGCTCTACATTTTGAGCAGAGGAGCGTCAAAGAACTTTTGGACATTTTTAAAACACCATGTTGTTGCTAGTTGCTGTCAAGTCAAACGGACTCATGGTGACGCCATGTGTGCTGGAAGGAACTGTACTCCCTAGCGTTTTCAAGGCTGTGACTTTCAGAAGCAGATTGCCAGGTCTGTCTTCCAAGTTGCCTCTGGATGGACTCAAACCACCAGCCTTTCAGCTGGTAGTCAAGTGCTTAACCATTTGCATGGGTGCGTACCAAAAATTTGTATTTGTTGTCTGACTAGGGTAAGTGGACAAGGCTAGTTGCTGCTGGAGATGACCAGCCCTGGCTGCTCCAGTCCTTCCTAGAGGACGAGTGGGCAACATCGCGGAATATCTATAACCCAGAACACTGGTGTACCAGGACACACCACTTGGGAAGCGCTAGCTGGCCTAAGGGCAGGTATCAATTGGGAAGATTTTGTTAGTGACAGGATGGAGTTTATTGGATCCCTTAACAGAACAATCCACAGGTAGTGCTGGTTCAGGCCCAGTTTGATTCAGGATGCACACAATATCCTGGGTCCAGTTTCATCTCTGCTTGCTTTTGGTTGGTCCCCAGGCTTTCCACAGTGGTCCATGGAAATTCCAGGCTCTCCCTTCAAAGCGAAGGCAGACCTGAGCATCATACTCTCATTACCGCTGAGCCTCACAAGGAAGAGAAGGTCTCCCAGCGTTCCCGGTGGACCTCATTGGGTGCACCCTGATTGGAGAGGTTTGTGCCAATCCGGGTTCTCCCCTGGAGCTAGATGTGGGATCAATATCACTCCAACCACATGGCTGAGGATGGGGGACTAGCAGTTCATCAGGGAACCGAGAAGAAAGGGGGAAGGAAGGTCAACAAACCACGGGCCTCACTGCAAGGCACCTTGCTTTAAAGCAGCCTGCCTTCAGAAAATTGGAGACCAGGATTGCAGCTTATTTCATAGAATGTTTGTAACAACTGACCTGGTGGGACCATCCCTAGACGCGGATATGCAGTATACGAAGAAGGAGTTTGTTAGTTATCTTGGAGTTGGCTCTGCCTCATGGAGACCCCACGTACAACAGAAGGAGACATTGCCCAGTCCCGCCGTCTGCGTGATCACTGGTCTGTCTGAGCCCATTGTTGTGGCTGTTGCGTCAAGCCATCTCATGGAGGGTGTCCCTCGTTCTCGCTGACCCTCGACCTGATGTCCCTTTCTACCAATTGGTCTTTCCTGATGACTTGTCCAAAGTAAGCAAGCTCAAGTCTTGCCATGGTCGCTTCTAAGAAACATTCTAGTTGTATTTCTTCTAAGACTGATCCATCCTTTCTTTTAGCAGTCCATGGTACAGTCAATTCTCTTTGCCAGCATCACAGTTTGAATGCATTCATTCTTCCTCTGTCTTCCTTTTTCCTTGTCTGGCTTATACATGCCTACGAGATGATCTAAAAGGCCATGGCTTGGGGGTGGGGACAAGGATAGATGGGGGTGGGATGTTGCTGGACCAGTCATTCATCCTCTGGAATGTCTTGCCAGAAAAGGAGCAAATGATCAACAGTCACAGCTATAGAGCTGAGGGGGGAGGGGGCGGGGGAGACGAGAGAGGGGGCAACAGGAAAGTGAACACTAGGCTGAGTGGAAAAAGTCAAGCACAGAACTGTCTCTCGCTCCGCGTCTCCCCAGTGCCTGGCTCACAGCGGGTGCTCAAGGAATGTTTGTAAATGACAAAAGTAATGAATGAAGGTGACCATCTGTGACAATTTTTGCCAGACTCTTCCTTTCTTGCAACTCTGAGGCAAGAGCAGCACCTAACAGAGGGTAGGAGTCCCTAGGTGGTGCAAATGGTTAAGCGCTCAGTTGCTAACTATAAGGTTGGCGGTTCGAGTCCACCTAGAGGTACCTTGGAAGAAAGCCCTGATGATCAACTTTCTGAAAAATCAGTCATTGAATACCTGTGGAGCACGGTTCTACTCTGACACACATGGGGTCTCCATGAGTCCAAGCTGACCCGCCAGCAACTGGTTATTGTTCTTTCCATGGCAGATAGACTACGAGGATCAGTCGGCTCTGGAAGGACGGCTATCCAGTCACTGTTGACTTTGCCTGTTACCAGTGCGTGGGCGAGAATTAAGAGGATTTCTCCTTCTTCTGCCACTTTCCCTTGAGCTGTACTATTCATAGTAATTCTTCCTCATCTTAATAATCTTAAACCCAGTCTCAGGGAGCCGGGCTGAAGAGCAAACCCTCTGATGAGCAGCAAATGCCCAGCCATGAGATCACTGGAGGAAGTGAAGCATAGCCTCGATTGAAAACATCTGGAGAGCCATCCACACTCCCTGATCCCAGATTCCCCATGGGCGGAATGGTGCTACTGAACCCAGTTCTATTCCTACTTTGATGACGATTTTTGTGGTATCAACTTGACAGCTATATGACTTTGCTTTTACTATTTTCCTTACAAACTGGAAGATTGCAAATCACTGGTAGCAAGGATAAAGCCAAACCAAACCCATTGCTGCCGAGTCAATTCCAACTTATAGCGACCCTATAGGACAGACTCACACTGCCCCATAGGGTTTCCGAGGAGCGGCTAGTGGATTCGCACTGCTGACCTTTTGGTTTGCAGCCACAGCTCTTAGCCACTGTGGTAGCAAGGATAATGGAGTAATTTTCAAGGGCTTAAATGGCAAAGTACTTGACTACTGTCATGGATTGAATTGTGTCCCCCCAAAATATGTGTCCACTTGGTTAGGCCATGATTCCCAGTATTGTGTGATTGTCCCCCAGTTTGTCTTTGGATGAGAAGAAAGCCTTCCCCGGGAGCTGGCGCCCTGAATTGGGACTTGTAGCCTACTGGACTGTGAGAGAATAAATGTCCGTTTGTGAAAGCCGTCCGCTCGTGGGATTTCTGGTAGAGCAGCACTAGATGGCTGAGACTACTGACTGAAAGGTGGGTGTTCAAATTCACCCAGAGGTGCCTCAGAAAAAAGGCCTGGCAATCTGCTTCCAAAACCTTGGAAACCCTATGGAGCACAGTTCTACTCTGTGACACATGGGGTCGCCATGAGTCAGAACTGACTCAGCAAGTGGGATAGCTCTAAGCCACCACCCATCTGTCAGCGTGTGGTACTGTGGTGGCGCGCACGTTGCTATGATGCTGAAGCTTGGCCACCAGTGTTTCAGATACCACCAGGGTCACCCACGGGGGACAGGTTTCGACGGAGCTTCCAGACTAAGACAGACTGGTGACCTACTTCCGAAAATCAGCCAAAGAAAGCCCTGTGCGTTACCCCAAATCAAACCAAACCCACTGCTGTTGAGTCGATTCCAACTCACCCCAGAGGGTTTCCAAGGCTGTATGTCTGTACAGAAGCAGACCCACCGCGTCTTTCTTACACGGAGACGCTGGTGGTTTCAACCTGCCGACCTTTCGGTTAGCGGTCGAGTGCTTTAACCACTGCGCCTCCACGGCTCTTTCTACGGATCACAGCTGAATGTTATCTGATATAGTGCTGAGCCCCTGGCTTGGAAAGCGCTCAGAATACACAGTGGCCGCAACAAATGGACTGCAGCATACCAATGATCGTGAAGATGGCGCGGGACTGGGTCACATTTCATTCTGTTGTACGAGGTGTTTTTATGAGTCGGAGCCAAGGCGACAGCAACTAACCACCACCACGACAGCGTAGCGCTAAAGGTTAGGTAGGGTTCAGAAATCAGCTCCCCCACCCCGTCCCAGCTCAGCTCCTTTACGCAATGAGGCGACATGGCATGGGTGAATCAATTGTTCTGCCATCGAGCAGGATTATCGGTGATGTTAGTGAGATAATAAAGAAGGCTGTGTAACTGCCCCAAGTCTCCGGTCCCGGGTTTCTTTTTCGTCTACCCTCCAGTCCTGTGACTCGCCTGGTCTCTCT